TCAATGTAAAGAAAACAAAAATCCTCACCACTGGACCAATAAATAACATCATGATAAATGGAGAAAAGATTGAAGTTGTCAAAGACTTCAGTTTGCTTGGATCCACTATCAGCCTTCATGGAAGCAGTAGCAAGAAAGCAAATGATGTATTTATTGCATTAGGCAAATCTACTGCACAAGATCTCTTTAAAAAGTTCAAGAGCAAAGATGTCAGTTTGAGGACTAAGGTGTACCTGACCAAACATATTTTCAATAGCTTCATATGCATGTGAAAATTGGACAGTGAATAAGGAAGACTATATAGGAATTGATGCATTTGAGTTATGGTATGGGAGAATATTAAAAGTACCATGGGACTACGAGAAGAACAAATGAACCTTTTGGAAGACATACAGCCAGAATGTTCCTTAGAAGCCTGGATAGCAAGACTTTGTCTTTCATACTTCGGATATGTTATCAGGAGAGACCAGTCCCTGGAGAAGGACATCATGCTTGGTAAAGTGGAGGGTCATTGAAAAAGAGGAAGACTCCCAATGAGATGAATTGGCACAGTGACAGCAGCAATGGGCTCAAGCGTAACAATTGTGACGATGGCATGGGACCGGGCAGTTTTTCGTTCTGTCATGTATAAAGTCACTATGAGTCAGAAACAACTCAGTGGCACCTACTAACAACAACAACAAAAGAAAGAGGAATGGGGTGCATCAAAGCAGTGGGTACCTGGGAGGCTCGCTCTGAGCCGGCAAGGTCCACCATGAAGAGCCGCCCAATGCGCACGGCCTCCGCCAGCTCCGAGCCACGGCTCCACTGGCGCACGGTGACCTGCAGCACAGCGTGGGAACGTGATGAGGTCCGGTTGGTGGCTGTGGGCTCCTGAGTGCGCTGCCGGTTGCCTTTGGTGAGCAACTCCATAATCTGAGGACAGAGGCCGAGGTGGGTCAGTGCCAAATGGGTAGGTGTATGACCCCAAGAAACAGCAGGGGCAGGGAACCGATGGTGGGGCCCACTCCATAGCAGCCCCCAGGACTGGCCTGCTCATGGCAGAACCAAATCTATTTCTGGATGGTGGCACTCAGCAGTTAATTATTCATGGAGTAGTTGTCTCCTGACACTTGGAGTAAGCCCCTGACCCTCTTCTGCCGTGGCAAACATCAAAGGATCCTCAATTCTCCCAGGGCCTTTGCTATGTGGATCCCTAGGTAGTACTATCAATTCCCTGAGACCCATCTGCTGTGGAGCAGCTGCAGAAATCACGCCAGGGCTCCTTCTGTGTACAGTGTACATGGAGGACAGACAGACACAGCCTTCATTATGAAGGAATAAACACAAAGTGCTTGAGGGCATATGGACTTGGGGTCGACATGGCTAAGGCATGTGAGCATCCAAGTTGGGGTGGGCACGGGGGGTCTGTAGGGATTCTAGAGGAAATAAGGAGCCATGGAAGGGCTTTGAACAAGGTAGAGACCCACCCTGGGGACAGTGTTGAGTGTGGGCCACATAGAGAGAGACAGGAGGCAGACAGGAAACACGGAGTGCTGGAGATGTTTTTATAACTTGTCCTTGCTGAGGGATCAAGTGTAGAAACAGTGACCCAATCCCATTGTCAACAACGTTTAGGACCTGGGATGACAAAGGGATTTTGGACTTTTAACCAACTCTGATTGGTTGTGACTGCTCAGAGGGCTGTTGAGAAGGATTGGGAAGCTGCATCTAGAAGTGTGTTCTGTTAGTGATGCCTGCCATGAGCAGGCTAGAAGGGCAGAGATATAGATGCAGACATGAGGGAGTGAAGACTGAAATGTGTCATCTATTAGTGATGTCTGTCATGAGCACAGGCTAGGAAGGCAGAAAGATAGATGCAGATATGAGGGAGTGAGTGTTAAAAGGGTATGTGATCTATTAGTGATGCTTGTTATGGGCACAGGCTATGAGAGCAGAGAGATGGATGCAGATATGAGGGAGGGAGGGTTAAAAGAGTACATGATCTATTAGTGATGTCTGCCATGAGCACAGGCTAGAAGGTAAATGGGTGCAGATAACTGCGCTTGTGCAAGATCAAGTTCAGCTGCTTAGAAACAGCTCTGGTTTTGCAGTTGTGTGTCAGCCTGTGCTCTGTGAATCCGAACAAGGAGGGCTTTGAAAATGCTGGTGTCTGTGGCTGCAAGGGCTGAGTTATTTTGCCCTCTGTGACCTCGTGACCCTCACCTCCTGGGCATTTGAAGTGGAGACCTCCGTGATGCCTGCGATCTGGATGCTGCCACGAGAGTCTTCTCTCAGATCCAGGAATCCCGAGGAAGGGTTCAAGAGGTCGCGGATTACTTCATTATAAATCTGGGGTGGAACAGAAGAGCTGGGGACAGAGCAACTTAGTGCAAAAAAATAAGTGCAGGGTCTTCCATATCACTGAGACTCTGAGCCTCCAGAAAAACCTCGGATCCTCTGAGAACAGAGGCTTGCCACAAGAGCAGCTGGCCTTTGGGGACAACACACAATGCTGAGGAGTTCATACCCATGTATGGTAGGCTCATGCCCATTTTGCAGAAAAGTAAATGGAGGCAGGTGACAGGCTTACCTCGAGGTAAGACATGGACACACTGTAGTCCATGTTGTCACTCGTCTCCTCAATGGCCTGGAAGAGGTCCCTGAGGGTCTGCAGGTAGATGCCTGGCTCCGCATCCATGCCGAGCATGGTGTAAGTCTTCCCAGCGCCTGTTATAGGAGGAGAGAGGCCCAGGGATGGGATGATTCCTGAGTTGGGCTCAGACACTGCACCATCAGGAAACAAGTATTCCTCAGAAAATCAAACATAGAATTTATTACCACATGACCCAGCAATCCCAACCCTGGGTAAGTTCCCAAGGCATTTTTATACCCACCTTCATCACAGTACTATTCACAATCACCAAAAGGTGGACACAACCCAAGTGTCCATCAACAGATGAATGGATAAACACAATATGGTCCATCCATGCAATTTATGTATACAGCCAAAACAAGAAATAAAGTCTTGTTGTCTCGGGAGATGCTACCACGGTCATTTGGCATAACATAGTCCACAAAGGCAATGTTCTACATACTACTTTGGTGAGTAGGGACTAGGGTCTTAAAAGTTCATGAGTGGCCATCTAAGATGCAACTGTTGATCCTTCCCTGTCTAGAGGAAAAAAGAATGATGACAATGAAGATGCTTGCAAACAATTGGTCCAGTGAACTAATGGACAATGTGAACATCAGTCCCCATGACCCTGAGACCACAAGAACTAGATGGTGCCCTACCACCCCCACCTACCTCTCACTTGATTGGAAATTGAGCCACAGGTAGGTGGGGGCAACAACACTGGTGAGGTATACACACCATATACTGCTCAACCATTTGAGATCAAAAGGGTACCATTTACCTAAAGAGAACAGTCAGAAGGTTGGGGAAAGGAGGAGGAATGGAAACAAGAAACATAAGGAGGAAGTGGGATAACTGTTGTTACATGGAGGAGATTGCAATCATTGAGAGGAAACAAAGTGTAGGATTTGTTGAATGTAAAACTGATGATCTTGTCTATAACCCTTCACTCAATTCACAATAAAAAGTTTAAAAAAGAAAGAAAGAAATGTATGTGTTATCTGTAAATGAGAACGATTTCAAAAGGGGTACCTGTTTAGGGGGAGCCTCACTTCTCCCCCTACTGAATTCCCTGTGGAACCAAAGACTATGCTTTTCTTCTTGCTGGTCAGAGACTGGTTCGTATGAGGGGGCTTCAAAAAATTTGTGGAAAGATTCCTTTATCTTTCTATTCCATTTTTCCATTAACTTTTTGAAGCCCCTTCATAGTAGATGCTTGTTATATAGTCTGTTGAATGAATGAAACAGACATGCTATGATTCTGGACCAGTCACTGTACACACATGTAGAGCTGGAGGGGAGGGGGTCTCCAGATTCCCACCCACCAGCTGTGTGATTTCAGGGAAGCCTTAGCACCTCTCCTGGGCTCACTTTTCTCATCTGTGAAAAGGGATTGTGCTGCCTCCCTCTCAGGACTGCTGAAAGGGTGATGGGAGACAACAGAGAGAAGAGCGACACAGACCAGCAGGTTAGGATGAGTCATCCACTCTCTGGGGCAGCCCATTGGCTCAAGGACACACTGCCCTTGGCATACCTGAGGGACCGTAGGCAAACACTGTTGCGTTGTATCCGGAAATGACTCCCTCCACCAGGTGCTGGGTGGTGGCGCAATACACATCCTCCTGTGGACAGACACAAAGGGACAGTCAGGTGGACGGCCAACTGGTGGGAGAGGACAAGGGTATGGCTTCTATAAATGGCCATTCCCCTCTAGACAGGTGTAGAGGACATAGGTAGGAGAAGGGTATCTTGAAACAGCTTGGACGTTGGCTAGTCTTGGGCCACCATGCTGTGAAGAAGCCAAAGCCACATGGAGATGCCCAGTCCTGTTGGTAGGACACCTTGGCCATTCTGGGCCTCTCTGTATATGTTCTTGTGATGGGAGGGACAGTGCCAACCCCACAGGGTGGGTGCGAGGGAGGAGGGAGAACTGAGTGAGAATGTGCGGGACAGCTCCCACCACAAGGCCTGATACGCAGTAGATACTAAATAGGTGTGAGTCCTTCCCAGGACTTCTTGGAAAATTGAGAGGGCTCTTTCTCTCTGCCTCAGAGCACTCCAAACCATGAGAGTCACATGGAGGAAGAGGCCATTGCACAGGCTGAAGCACAACAAAGAAAGACAAGGCAGCAAGCAGTCCGAGGACTCGCTGGCGAATGCACCGTGGAAGCCATGGCAGTAGGAATGTGGAATGCTGGGGGCCTGGGGCATTGGTACAGCTGTTACTGTTACATGTTACTGGCTAGGACATCTAACTCAACAAATCTCTATCCATCATACCAAATCAGTCCCTTATGAGCCTTTGCCTTGGACTTCTGACATCTTGGACTAATTCTGTTCTCAGTGGTGGCTGAGTGTACACAATAAATCACCTCTTCTGCTATTTTCAATGAAGACTTCAAAAACAATTAAGAATTGAGAGGGATCAAGAATACTGAGGGCTGGGAGGCAGCATCAGGATCTGGAAATCTGTGTCCTCTGTAGGAGACAAAATTGGGACCAGGGAGATAAAGTCTCAGGCCAGCATAATTTTCTAAAAGACTACAATGCATAGAGATGAGAGTGTGGAGCAGTTTGGGTAGTGAGCTTCTTGTCCAAGGAGCATTCAAGTAAAAAAATACTTGAACAACAAGTCCAGGACTGAGGAATCAGAGTACCCACTTCCACGGCATCTCTGGGCCTTAATGGTCACTTCACTTAATTTTCCCAACATTCCTGGCAGGTTACACAGCTCAAAGGGGTCACAGCAGCACTGGATATAGCTTTGGCAGAATGAAGCCCCTGCTTTTTGGCACAACACTGCCCTGCTTTCCTCTAGCTCTGGTACTGGCACTGAATCAAGGTTTTGCAACTCTCAAGCCGTGGGACCTCAGGCAAGTTGCTACCGTCTAAAACCTCAGTTTCCTCACCTGTAAAATGGGATCACATATTTTATAAAGTTGCAGGAAGATGACAGGACAACGCATGCCAAGAGCATACAGCCCCTGGTGTGCTAAGTAGATGTGAATGACATTCTACTTCCTGTGCTGTTAAATTGTGGTTAAATTGGAGGTAGGGGAGAAAAGAAGCTTCCGGAACTGCTTGATGATTATGTCAGCTCTGAATCCGGGGGAGTACCTTAGGGTTCTGAGAACTCCATTCAACATCACCAGCCTCCTTCTGGAAAGACCACTCGAGTGAATGCAGTTGCAGTGAGTCCATTGAGGGGTGGGAGAGGGCAGGGAAGGACCAGAAGATGAGAGGATGCAAGATGGCTGTGGATTCTTGGTTACTCTTTTCACTGGGATGCTGAGCCTAAGTGCCCTCCCCTCGAGTCTGGACCAGCCCTAGTAACCTGCCTGACTTGTGAAGTATGGCTGACATGAAGCCTGGCCAGGTCTGGCCAAACTGGAAGGAGTCTGGCACCATCCACCTTGTTCACTTGGAGCTCTGAGCCACCCTGTAAGAAGTCTGACTTCCCTGAGGCCGCCATGTTGTGAGGAAAAGAGGCCACAAGGGCCTAGCCCCAGCAGAGCTCTGAGGAAAAGCCAGTGTTTACCGTAGGACAGCCTTCAGCTGACATTTCAACGCAGTTGCCTGAGAGGCAACTAGGATAAGTAACGAGGATAAGAGTAATTGTTGTAATTAGTCCAAGAACTAACAGACTATGAGAACCCTGTCTCCATGACCCGAAGACCAGAGCGACATGGTACCCGCTACCACTACCAACTGCTTTTAAAGGGATCACATTAGAAGGTCCTGAATAGAATTGGAGAAAATACGGAACAAAGCTCAAAATCATACAAAAAGACCAGGCTTACTGGTCAAACGGAGACTGGTGGGACCTCCGAGACTCCAGCTCTTAGACACCCTTCAAGCCTGGAACTGAACTCACCCCCAGTGACTCCGTTTTCAGCCCAATAATAGAAGACTTGTAAAGAGAACAGTAACACTAGGAGGTCAACACTCCTTAGAACAATCAACCAGTTGAGATCAAAAGGGTAGCATTTTCCCCAAGACAAAGTTCAGAAGGCAGTAAGGGATAGGAACTAAAAAATGGGAAACACAGGGAGGAAGTGGAATATGCAATGCTACATTGTGTGGATTCTAATCAATGAGATGAAACAAAATGTGTATGAACTCTTGAATGGAAAGCTGATCTGTTCTGTTAATCTTCTCCCAATTCACTTTAAAAAGTGGGAAAAAAAAAAAAAAGAACACATTGTTGTTCTGAACCACTAAGCTTTGTTCTGCAGACAGAAAACCAGGAGAGAACTCCCACAGCTGGGAGCTATGGTTTCAGCGGGCCGAGGGTTTCCAGGACAGTGTGAGGGGACAGTGATGAGAGCTCAGAACCCACAGCTGGCCTTGGGTTTTGCCTTGGGGCTAAACATTCCCACTGTTCCTCATCCTGAACCTCCTGAGTAGGGACCATACATTCAGACCCCACTCCATCTGACTGGGCTGAAAAGGGAGCCTCAGGGCCCCACCTCCCAGATGATGTGCTAGATGGTGTTGGCCCTTGGGAAGGGATGAATGTTCGGTTCAGGTACAACCCTGGTTCTCACGGTGTGACCATCCCAACTCTTGGACTCTTCATCAGTGAAATGGGGACCAAAGCACCTATGCCAGGACCCCTCTACACTTATGGTGTCACACAGTTCATCCCTGATTCAGGCCTCGGCCTCCTGCTTCACCTTCATCCCCAGGAAGGCCTCCCTTCACCACCTGTGCCTTACAGTGCCTCACAGACTGCCTCAGTCTCAGGGAAGGTGCCTCCTGCTGCTGTCCACTCAGATGACCCAAGCTCACCTGGGGTCTCTGCCCCCAACTTTGGCTTGGACAAGACAGCCCAGTTACTAGGTCCCCAAAGGTGGCTCTAGTGCTTGATGAGGATGCTCACGACTGTCTTGAACCAACAGGAGGACAGCGGGGCCGGGGAGGGCACCTGGGAAGCATGCTGGTCGAAAACCGTGTCAAATATGAAGGTCTTCTCCCGGGATCGGTGGGTGCGCAGCGTGTCCTCAGGGTCTTCACCAGGGTCCATCAGCACCACCATCTTGGAGTAAAGAGGTAGAGGGGTCAGTGTGGTCACACCTGTGTGAGGACATACTCTCAGCATCAGGGAGAGGCCTCACCCCTGCAAGGGCTCCCCAACACACAAGCACATACCTCCTTGACAGCCCCAGAGACCAAGGCCTCTGTGCTTAGGCCAGTGGAAAACTTGGTGGGCTGTGTCCCACCCTCCTCTCCCTTCCATTCGGGGCATCCCCAAGGGAACAACTGAAAGTACCTGTCCTGTGTCCTGCCCACACACTTGCTCCCAATAACCGAGCTGCCCCTCACGTCTGTGGGTACCACAGCATCCTTGGGTACCACAGACTCATGAGCAGTCCCTCCCAAGAACCTCACAATGGCATCAGCCACTGGACCTGGTACCTTCCCATTACAAGGACTTTGAAGGGCTAACAGAATGAGGACAGGTGGGAACATTGTTTGCTGCTGAGCTGACAACTGTGTTGTGTGGTCTCCTCACGAGACCCCTGGCCTTGCCTTTCGCTCTAGGGGTCGAGTCAGCAAAGGGGAGGAGAAGGTTAGGGTGTCCACATACACCTAGAGAGCAAAGGACTCGCCCATCCTCAAGAAGATAAACACAGAATTACCATGGTGGTAGCAATGATGTGTTGTCAAGTTAATCTCAATGCATAGCAACCCAGTACAGTATTTCTGGGGCTATAAATCTTTACAGGAGCAGAAAACCTCATCTTTCTCCCATGGAGAAGCTGGTGGATTCAAACTGCTGACCTTGTTGTTAGCAGCTCTACACTTAACCCACTATGCCACCAGAGTTCCTTAGAATTACTATTTGTTATTATTAAGTGCCTTGGAGTCGGTTCCAACCCATAGCGACCCTGTATAGGGTTTCCAAGGAGCAGCTGGTGAGTTTGAACCACCTACCTTGCAGTTCAAAGCAACTTTGCAGTCCAGCGCATTAACCCACAGCATCACACCATAGGACCCTATAATTCCCCTCTCAGGTACAGTGAAATTGATGAGAATCAGAACTCAATGGAATGGCCTTGTTTTCCTGGGTTTCACACGTTTTCCAGTTTTGACAGGATGCAACCTTCCGATATTTCTATCACTCTCCATAGGTGGAAAACAGCTGAGTTTTCCCTATCAGGTTTCCACCTTACACAGGTTCCAGACTTTTCTAAGTTTGGTGGTACACCCCCAAGTTTGACAGCAGGGACTTAAACAGGTACATGCATGTGGATGTTCACTGCAGCACTGTTCCCACTGCAGCAAAAAGGAGGAGACAACCAAATGTCCATTAGCAGATGATGGACACACACAATGCGGTCTGGCCACACCATGGAGTACTTTGCAGTCATAAGGAGAAATGAAGTTCTGATACCTATTATCACCTGACTGGACTTTGAAAGCATGCTACTGAGACACAAGAGAAAACACCACGATTCCACTTAACAGGTACTTTATTTGGAGTGAGCAAATGCATGGAGACCAGAGTAGATTCATGGTCACCAGGAACAAGGGCCAGGAAAGGCACTGGGATTCTGTTCATAGAAGGGGAACAGCAGAAAACAGATACTGACGAGGGCTAAATCGTATCTGGTAGAAATGCTGAATTTGCTTTTCTATGTTTTTACCACAATGCTGCTGTTGGCTACTGTCAAGTCAATTCTGACTCATAGAGAGCCCATGGACAACAGAAGGAAACACTGCCCAGTCCTGCACCACCCTCACGTTATTGCTACGTTTGAACCCATTGTTGCAGCAATGGCATCAGTCATGGTGAGTCGTCCTCTCTTTTGCTGACCCTCTATATTTTTACGCCTCCCTCCCTCACACACACACAAAAAATCTATAAAAATAAAGGATCCAGCCCATTCTCCAGCCTGCTCCTTGTCTCTCTCTGGGTTCCTGGGCAGCCTCCCAGGGCCTCTCCCAGCTCCTGTAAAGATGTAATTATGAAGAGAGTGTATTAGGGTCTCTGGAGACCCAGGAGTTCAAAGGAGCCCTTCTCAGGGGAAGTGAGAAGGAGGGGCAGGGCAATTAGAGATCAGCCAGGCCCTGGATGTTTACTCTGGTGAGGGCTCACGGCCCCTCCGGGCCTGGAGAGGGGGAATCACAGACACCAATGAGAGGGACAAGAGCACCCCTCCATCCCCCCCCCCCCCCACCAGCTGGCCCTCCTGGATTCTGGGGCTGGGGCCAACACTTGGCACTTTTTCCAAGATGTATCAGGTAGACACTTCTTCCCTCCACAGCTGTCCTCTCCTTCCCAGAATGGAGAGGGCCCAAAGGTGGGCCAGGCTCTGTTCCATATACTGGCTTCCCCTCTTACTGGTCTGGAGGCCATGGGAGCTCCCTCACCACTCTGAACCTCATTGTTCTTGTCTGTAAAATGGGGGTGTCCTAGAACCCACCTGCTGAGATACCGCTCGGTGTCTAGAAAAAGTCACCTGATTGTATCTTTGATTAGGAAAAAAATCTTTCCATATGAAAAACGTTTTAATTTTTTTTACATATTGAGAAAAATCAGCTAAAGTTGAATAAATCTATAGATTAAATAATATGATATTACGCTCCTTATTTTCTTGGTGAGAAAAATACACAATGAAATACATACTGTTTCAACAATTTCCACATGGACAATTCATTGACGGTGGTATTCTTTAAGGTGGGCCACGTTCCTTGACAACATTTAAAACATTTCGCTGTCATCAACACACACTCAACTGCTCCCCTCCCCCAAGTTTCTGGATTTACTCGCATAGATAAGAGTTCTTTACAAGAGTATACAGTTCCAACCAACCACTCAAGAACAAAAGGGCAGCCCCTGCCCCGGGGAGAAAGCTCTGAAGGCAGGAAAGGATGGGAAAGAAAAAGATGAATGGAAACAGGAAGAAGTGGGAAGAACATTGTGGGGCTTGCAATCAATGTCACCCATCAAAATGTGTATGAATTGTTGAATGGAAGCCAATGTGCTCTGCAAACTAACATCCAAATCACAGTAAGAAAATAGAAAAAAAAAAAAACCTCACAAACCCACACCACCAAACTGGAAAAACTAAAAACAGAGTATATTGATTTTGATCACTGGACAGAGGTCATACCAGAGGATGCTGTTGTTTTTCAGAAAGATGCAGGAAGCTGTTTGTGTGTAGTGGGCATCCTGCCACAACAGACTCTCCAATGGGCAGAGAGGAGGGGAAAGCAAGCTCCAGGGTGATGTGGACAGTTGGGGAACCTGGGAGTTGTACTATTTGTGCAGATTTTCCATGCATCTGGACTGACTTCAGAATAACAAGTGGAAAGAAATCTGGAGCTGTGATGTAGTTCAAAGCACAGCATGGCAGCCTCGGGGGCCCAGGGACTCTAGACATCAGGGGAAGGGAGGGTTGGCAGGGCGCCTGCTCTCATCCCCACTCAGAGTCCTGGCTTGGCTCTAGAACTCCGATGCTCGACACACTTCCCATTCCCAACACCCCTCAAGACTTCAGAGGCCCCCCGTGCTGGGACATTTGTAGTTCCAGGTTGTTAGAACAATGTTCTGTTCTCAAATATTCAATTTTCTGCCCTGGTTTCATAGTTCTCTTTTTCCCCAGTCCTGACCCTTTCCCTATGACGTCGGTCACCAGAACCAAGGAACTGGGGGAAACGCTCACTCTGAACTAACAGTCTGAATGTGAGGAACCACTGGACAACCTTCTGCCGCCAGTCTGTTCTAGATCTTTCTCTTGCTGCTGGGCGCTAATTCCCATTATAGAGGTCCATAGAGCTGATTCCCATTATAGAGGTCCACAGAGCTGATTCTTATTATAGAGGTCCACAGAGCTGATTCTTATTATAGAGGTCCACAGAGCTGCCTATGAAGGAGATCCTATGACCACCACCACATGTGATGACTGCTTTTGAGTGTGACCAGGCAAACACTGGAGACAATATAGAAGAGGGACATTCTGAGTCACTTAATGTGTTGTTAAGTGCTGCTGAATTGGTTCCGATTCACAGCAACCCAGTATAGGGTTTCTGAGGAGTCCAGCACACCACCACACCAGGACTCCGAGCCATGTATTGGGGCAGCTGAGTCTCCTGATATGGCTGACTGACAGCTCCCAGGGAGCTGTCAGTCAATTGGCCCACAACAAAGTGCCCAAGGCTTTGGAGATTACGAAGACTATTCTGAGCTGCCATCAAACCCTGAAATTATTATTTGCCTTATAAATCATTTAGGAAGGATACGACCCCTCTTCCTGTAATTAGTTACTTTTTATCAGTCACACATGCTCACAGAAGTGAGAGTGTAGCAGAACTCTCGTCTTCCATGAGAAAGATCTAGGTTTGATTCTTGGCCAACGTGACTCTTGTGCAGCCTCCAACTGCATCTGTCAGTGGAGGCCTGTGTGTTGTTAGGAAAAAAGGCCTGTCCATCCACTTCCAAAACACCAGCTCATGAAAGCCCTCCAGATCACAACAGTCTGATGACACTGTGTGCAGGGTTGCCATGAGGTAGGGACTGATTGGAGTGCAGCCAATACCACCACATGAACACAGTTTTAAATAAAGCTTGCTGAGACAGCTGTCCCTACCCCTCCCACAACTCAGTTAGCTGATTTTTAGGGTTTCATCAGCGAGCCCCTAAGGAGCATACTCATATAGTGTACCCCTTCTTGGTTTGCTGGGTCTCTGCTCTCATCCCCCAGCCATCTATACTGACCACAGACTGAGTCCAAATTTCCATATTGAGATGAGGTCCACTCAGAGGGAGCAGGAGGGAAAATGGAATGTGTCCAACTGCATCCTTGGCCGTGAGACTAGAACTGACAGGATGACTGAATGTTTTGATCAAATATTCTATAGAAGACTCCTGATCAACAGGGGGTAATTATAGGACAGAATTTCAAATTCTCTTGGACTTTACATTTCCTGGAGCCACAGAGGCTTAATGAACCGCTGAAACTATTGCCCAGAGACCATCTTTAAACCTTAAACCAAAAACAGTCCCTGAAGTCATCTCAAACAAAAGAGTGGTTTCGTTTAATTAGTAAAGAATGTCTGTTTTGAGTTATATCTGTCTGAGATCAAACTGACAACAGCAACTTGAAAGCTCAGCTAGGGTTACGTGAATGAGAAAGGATTTATATGAATGGGGAACGACTCAGAAAAGAGGGGTGAGAACAGTGGCACAACTTCAACAATGTCATCCCTGTCACTGAACTGTACATATTCAAACTGTTCAACTGGTATGTCCTGCTGTGTGTATTCTTAACAACAGCAACAAAAATTAAATCATTTAAAACAGAATGTTGTTAACAGTTCAGGAAAAACAATAAACTAGGTGGTCTCATGATTTCTTAGCCTCTTCCAAGCCCTCTCCCACTTCAGGGCTGCTACCAGTTGTTCCCTCAGCCTAGATTCCCACCTCCCTTCTCCCACTTTCTTTGGTCCTCCCTTCTGTCCTCCATGGCATTCAATCCCTTCTCTCTGTTCACTGTCCCCCACCTCATGGGGACACTCACTGCCTAACCCCAGTGTGGGCACAGCCACATTCAGCACTAATGCCTATTGAATAAACAGGGATAAACTGGTAACACACACAGCAGAGCACATTCACAATACACACACAGTAACTTATTAGGTCTCAGGGACTAGGCCAGGATGCAATCCCACCCTCCATGCCTCCCCAGCCTCACCTGGTCCCCCACTTTGTGGGCGATGGGGGTGGCCCCTTCTTCCAGCTCTGCATCATTGAGTGGACGGATTCGAAGAGCTACCTGTGGGTGGGGCACAGCTCCAGTTGTTTTTCAAGGGGCAGTTCTTCCAGAAGCTGCTCCTAAGAAGGTCTCCTTGGCTCCCTGGTGACGAGGCGGGAGAGGCACTGGGCCAGGCTCCACTCTGGGGTTATAACTACCCACATTGGACAGATGGGGGACTGAGGCACTTGCCCAAAGTCACACAGAAGCCATGTTGTGACTGCGGTAGCCTGAGTGCCACTCATGTGGATCCCCAACCCTCCAAGCTTTCTCCCTGTTCTAAGGGAGCCCTCTGGCCCCAGGTTTCCAGCTCACTGTGACCACTTGGTCATGGCTGGGGTCTGTCTCTAACCAGCCTGGGGGCTGGAAGGGATAAGTCCCTAGCCTCACCTCCCTCAAGTGTCAAATAGTTTCAGGTTCCCAGTCTACTAGCAGGTGGGCCTGGCTGCCCCCCAAAGTCCTCAGTCAGAGAAAAGGTTGGGCAGGGGTGAGAAGCAAAATTGTGGAGCCAATTCCAGCTCACAGTGAGCCCAGGTGTCAGAGGACTGTGCTTTGTAGGGGTTTCAGGACAGACTTTCCAGAAGCAAGTAGCCACGCTTTTCTTCAAGGCCTCTCTGGGTGGACTTGAACTTCTAATTTTCTGATGAACAGCCAAGTGGGTGTAGTTTGCACCCCCAAGAGAGTTGACCAGGGGTGGGAGGAGTGAAATTAGAGGGTGGGATGGTGCGGGGAGAAGCTCACCATGAGTTGCTGGTCCTTGGGCTCCACGGTGGTGATCTCCCGCATGGCTGGGCTGCCCCGGGCAGGGGAAGGCATGCAACTGGCTCAGTGTGGATGTGGAGATGCCGTTCTCCAGGCAGAGCTGGGCAACCACAGAGCAGCAGCGTCATGCTCCACCACGTGACATCAGCTGGCTGCGCACTCCATAACGTGTAAAGCGTCCACAGCCTTACTTCCACGCCCAGCACAGCCAACAGCACCAGGCATTCCCTCTGGGGACTGAGCACAGGGCACCGTTCCAGCCTTCAGTCGACTAGCTCATCTAATCCCTCAGCAACCCGCCAGGTTTCCACGGCACTCACCTGATCTCAGGTGAGCCTGCCTGAGCGGGAGGAGTGAGTTCTGCTCTCCTCTCCCGACTGAGTCAAAGAAGGCACTGCAGGGTGGCCCCGAGCAGGGAAAGCCATTCCCAAAGGACAGCTGCTACCAGTTAGGCTTAAAGAAGTCACATCAGCATTTTTCAAAGCAGTGTGAGGTAACCTTCGTATTTCTGACACACTGCCACAGACTTAAGCCCTCTCCCTCACACCAACTCAAATGAATGAGCAGGTGTATTTGCTGCTCAAATGCTATGCTCTCAAGGCACAGTCCTGGTATCCATGCGGCAAAGGGACAAACTTCTGCCTTCTAGAATCAGAAAGGTCCCAGCTGAGAAATGGCACAGACCATGGAGCCAGGGATGTGGAGGCCCCTCCCACATACCTGTGCAGGATGAGTCCTGGGGCTCTGTGGGTAACCAACAGCAGCTACATCAACTGTGTCCAGTTTTTAATTAAGGCTTCAAGTCAGTTTCTCCTGATCCAGTCATGGCTGATAGGCAAAACCGGGGCAGACTCAAATTTGTAAAGATTTGCAAAATGTAGGTGAAACACCCTTTTCTACTATTGTAAAATCGAAACTTGAGCTGGATAGAAAGCCTGTAAGCCTGTCTTCCGGCCTATAACTGACTAGAATACCTAAAAGGGGTTCTAGAACTTGCCCAGTGAAATAGGCCTCCTGTGGAGCCTTTGCAGTGTATAGGACTTTAGATGGAATCCTGAGCCCTATCCAGAACCTTCTGAGGTGGGACATTGCCACTAGAAAGGACAGGCAGACCAGCCTGGAACAACTAGAGCAACAGTAGATACATCCTCAAATAAAGATCAGGAAAAACCCAAAACAAAAATGGCAGTATGACTGGCTACTACAAAAATAAACAAGTTGTAAGCAAAAATACTGTTGAGTGATGACACATGGTAGAGATTGTAATCACAGCAATGAAATGATGAGTGTAAAACTGATATTCTCCCATGTAAGCTATCACTCAATTCACAATAAAAAATTTTAAGAAAAAAACAAGTTGTTTGCCAGGAAGCCATCAAGGCAAGCAATCAAGTCCCTTCATGACAGCGCCCCCTCTAAGATTAATACTCAAAGGGAACACACATGAGCAGGCATATAAACTTGTTGGAGCTCATGTTGGTCTACTGGTGAGTGGAAGAGGGGTTAAGGTAGCAATCAAGAAATGGGCTGAGTTCAACCACGTTCCAGACTCCAGTGGACCTGAAGATGAGAGTTGGTTAGTTCAAAATATAGTGAGACCTGGGGACATCTGAGCCTATGGTCAAGGACATAGCCACAGAGGTCTAGAGAGAGTGAAGCATCCAACTGATATGAAGTGAGAGGGGTCGCACAAGAACACCCAAAGTTGCAGATAGTACCCATTTGACCTAGCCTTGATAATCAGAACTCGACTAGAGGAAGATATATAAAAAAAAGAACAAATTTTGATAAAGGAAAAACAAGGGTAAATTGCTACAATTTGATGAACCTATACTCATGGAGGTAGTAACTCTAAATACCAACAAAGAAGCAAGGAGTCTTCACATCAAGTATCAATGCTATCCCCTCTGTACACAGGGTAGACAGGGATGGGCAACTTAAGACATTGGCTACCTAAAATGAGGGGGAGATAAAGGCACCAAGTGACTGGCTTACAACGTTTCATGAGGGAGCTTAGTTTAATAGTGTGTGGGGAAAGAAAGAGTCTCCACTGAATAGTTTTCACCTTGTTTAGATGGGTCTGGTTAAAAGAGATGGGGTAAGAGACTTATGATTCAATAATGAGTAATTGTTATCATGACTAATTGCAATTCTCACAATTGTAAAGCTGTTTTGTAACAAAAACATGGGAGTGGTTAATCTTAGTCCAGAAACAAAGGACCCTAGGTTCATCAAGGGAGAAGAGCACAAGCGGAATGCGTGACCTTATCCAGAAAAGCAGCAACACCAGAGATGGAGGCAGAGATGAGGACATGGAGAGAGGGAGTAGCTGAGGACTCTAGATTCATGGGAAGTGAACGACTAAGACATGGTGGCCAGGAAGCTGACTTGCAGAATATGTCCTTTGTAAATATGTAAATTATTATATATGCCTGAAGTGATTAAAAAGAAAAACTAGCTAAAGTGAATAAAGAGAGGAACACTGTTATGTGATTGTACATGGAGATGATATAATCATTGTAATGAAACAAGGTGTATGATTTGTTGATTGTAAAACTGATAATCTGCCCTATAAACTTTTACTCAATCTACAATAAAAACCTTAAAAAGAAAAAAAGGGTTAAACAGATTAGGAATGGAAAAATCTTTGCGCCCGTACCCTGCTATAAAGTTAAACCACCGGCTTAGCAAACTACATTAACAACCAAATCTCTTGGTCAGCAGTTGGAAACAATTCCCAACTCAAAGAACGTGTTGCTCTCAGTCCTGACAAGAACCGTCTTCTGCACTAGGCTCTTCCAAATATTCCATTCCAGGATTTCAGCCTTTCATTTTCCCCAGTTTACAAATTTGTGTCTGTTCTGATTTTGCTGCATTGCCAAGGACTGAACAGGTTTGTTAAGTGCCAGTGAGTTGGTTCCGACCCATAGCAAGCCTGTATAAGATTTCCGGGAGCGGCTGGTGATCTTAAACAACCGACCTTGCAGTTCAAATGACTTTGCTATCTGGCGCATTAACCCACAATCCACCAGAGCTCAAGTTTGAGGCCTGTTGAAAATCTTGGCAGTTCCTAGATAGTACACACAGGTTCAGTTCTTGACAACTAGCCAAGGGGTTTGAAGACAGGCCTGGCAATATACTTCCGAAAGGTCACAGCCATGAAAACCCCATGGTTTTCCCTCAGTAACACATGAATGGGTGGTTTTACAACCACCCTTTCATTATGAGATGTAGGCCTCTGACCTGGTGCCCACCCTAACATTTTCCCCCAAGACCACCATTGTGGCACCAGTACTCTGCACCCTGACCCAGCTGGCACTACCCCCAACAAGAGGTGGCCCTGTTAAATCCCTTCTACAGCAGGAGTTCAGCACATGTTTCTGAAAGTTTATTTAAAAATGAAGTCAAAACAGTACAGCTAGTAAGTTGGAAATAGCGTTAACTTTTGGAAAGCTTGGTTAACAACCGGTTAGAAGAGAACTAGGAGTCACACAGAACAAGATGATTGGGATTGACACACAAATTTAGTGACAGCATAGGAGGAAAGCAGTGATGAAGAGGCTGTGTACCGGGAAGTGAAGTACTGGGCTACAACAGGTTGGTGGTTTGGACCCATCAGCCACTCTGAGGGAGGAAAATGCGGCAGTCTGCTTCCATAGATGACAGCTTTGGAAACCCTATGGAGCAGTTCTGCTCAGCCCTCCAGGGTCACTGTAATGGTGGAAGATTCTATATGAATCATAGTTGACATAGACACTTAAGGTTTGAGAGAACGGAAACACTTTCTGTACAACCCGAGGACCTGGATCAACAAATGGCCCACACTGGGATCCACATGGAGCCAAGAACAGTGGTTCTCCCCAACCAGGAGATCCCATGGCCCGGCAGGAACATTTGCCAATCTCAGAGCAATGCTTGCTTGTGTCAGCTGACCTGCTCATCATGTGCCTCGCTGCTTAGTAAATGCAACTTCACGTTCCGGGAAAGGGAGAAGAGTGGCTGAAGGTGTCATGAGGATCATGAGGTAGTGAGAAATGAACCATGAAAACCAGCCAGTAAATGGAGTCACTCACACCCTTTTCAGTAAGGGATAAAAAGCCCTCAGAAGCCCAGACAGCAGTAGGCAAACGTCAATGTTTATACTCCTGAACCTCAAGGGAAAAGCCTGACTTCTCACCAGGTGAAATGAGCGTGTTTCTCGCAGAAGACGCAGGAAGAAACGGCAGTGATGGTACCAAGCAGAGCTGGAGTGTGAGGACAGAACACGAGATTCAAGGCCACTCTGAGACAGCGTTTTCACACAGGTTTGCTTTATTCTGCACCACGACCTGGAGGGTGGGGCCCCATGTCCTGAGGCGCCTCACTTGGGACGACAGGGAGAGTCTGTGAGCAGAGACTTCGGTGGTCTTGGTGGTGATGTGCTGCACAGAGCCACCAGCAGCGGTAGTGAAAAGCTACCTGTTGCAGCACTGCTTGAGTCTAGCAGCAAATACTGGTGGTACTGAATTTTAAAAACCCCAAAGAAGAAAAACTTGAAAGCGGTGCCTTGGAAGCGCCCTGCTGCAGACGCCTGGGGCTGAAGGCACAGAGTGTGTCTGATGGAGGAGTCCCACGTGTGCTCAAAGAGCGAGAGAAAGCGCGAGTAAGTCCAGGGGTTGTGTGGGCTCTCCGCGGGAGGATGACTTCAGTCCCAGCAAGAGACCTAGAGACACTGCAACAGAGACGAGCGCATTACTCTGTGTCCAAGTCACTTGACAAGTGAGAGGTCGCTCTGTCCTGAGGTGCAGACCCATCTGAAGATGCTGACGGGGGGATGTGCCCTGTGACAATTGGCAGCCTGCATGACCCTCAAGTCACGCAGAAGACCCAGTGGCACAAAATGACCATCCCATACACCTGTTAGCGCTCCAGAGTCTGCTCCTGAAGTATCCCCATTTCTGAGTTCTTGGCCATACCTGAACACTTGACCAGTGGCTGGTCAGGTACCTCCCTCCCGAGATATTAAACCACCCACCTGCTATCCACCCTGGCTCTACAATGACTTCAGTCTCCTAAACACACAGATGTGCATTTTCATGATTGCCTCAAACACCCTCCAGTTGGAATGATGAAGAGGAGAGAAGGACAGTGAACTATTCCCACAGAGAAAGATAATCTTACCTCAGAGCTTTCTGATCACTCCTGATTGCCCAGGGGAATAATTTCTTCAGTGACAAAGAACTCAATGGTCTCTTCTTCCCAGTCATCAACATTACTGTCTAGTTCATCTGTGTCCACACCTATAGAGACAGACTGCGCTTGAGACACGGGTCAGAGGTGCTTACTGACAACTGAAGAGCTGCTAGGTGGGTTTGAACAACCAGTCTGTTGGTTAGCTGCTGTGTGGCCAGGGCTCTAGATGGCTTGACCTAGAACACGTATGAACACAGTCTATGGAAGCAGCCAGACCCTCTTGCTAGGGGACATGAACTTGAGCCTGGAGACAATGGGAAACCTTCCAAATCTGGCAACTCAAGATTGTCCAAACTGCACTTGATGTTTACGAGGTATCAGGCCTGGGAAACTTTGAATACAAATGCCAAAGGAAAAAATTCTAAACATATGTATGCTATAAAAACAGATCTTTGGGCACCAAATTTGTTTTAAGTTGCTGCTGAGTTGATCCCAACTTACAAAGACTCCAAGTGTACAATAGAATAGTACACACAGGGTTTCCAGGGCTGTGACTTTTCAGAAGCATATGAACGGGCTTCTCTTCTGAGGCAGCTCTGGGTGGGTTCAAACCACCCACCTTTGGCTAGTGGCTCAGTGCTTAATTGTGGGAGCCACCCAGGGACTCTACCATTAAATGCTGTTGAGTGGGTTCTGACTCATATAGCGACCCTGTATTAGTGTGGGTTTGAACTGCTGACCTTATGGTTCACAGACCAGTGCTAATCCTACAGCACCACACCACGAGTCTCCACTACTGACGTTAAAAAAAAGCACTGCCATCACGTCCATTCCGACTCATGCAGGAAAAAGCAGAACTGCTAGGGTTTCCAAGGCTGTCACCTTTATGGAAGCAGACTGCTATATCCTCAGAATGACTGATGGATCCAAACCACCAACCTAGAACAGGCCAGTGCTTAACCCAAGGCATGAGCAGGGCTGCATTACTGAAATTACCTCCTCGTAATTCCAGGCGTTCGTTTTTCTGCTCCATGTAGAGCTCCTGGGCCATTTTCCGGTATTTCCGGAAATCTTCCATCATGGTTCGCCTTCTCTCCACCAGTTCCTACAAAGTCAGTGGAAATGCTCATACTGAACCCATCCTCATCGTGAGTGCACAGTGTCAGCCCACCAAACCCGATATGAGAACTTCCATTCAATACAAAGAGAACCTGAGGCCAGAATGGTGGGGTAATGGGTTTGTCCCCATTTTCTTTTCCTTTAACATACCCCCACCTCTGGTGCTGAAAAGCCCACCACCATGTCAAGCTGCAGGCCAGTGGATTCCCCCAGGGCACAGGACATCTAAGTCACCCTGCCTATATACAGTAGAGCAGTACGGATGGCTCCACATCTAGTAGAGCCAGGTCCTCTGAGCATACACCAGCCTCCCTTCCACAGCTGGTGCCATCCTTCTGTGCCCAACAAATGACACGGTCATCTTTAACCTTTCCTTAGCTCACCTTTGAGGCTTTGGATTGGCTCAAACGATCCTTCTGCTCAAAGATCTTGGAGTACTTCTTCAGGTCCTTTTTAATTTGCTGAAACCAAGACAAGTTACACAGTGAGAGCCACCAATTCAGCCTTTAAAGCTGCCCACACAAGCTCTCCAAGCTGCATCTTTCCTGCGTGTCTGCTCCTCATTCACTCTTTCCTGGGATTTACCCACTCCTCTCAGCGTGTAATACCATCTGCTTATCTCACCATAATTATGTAAATCCCACAGCTGTGTTTCGTCTCATTCCAGCAAAACTTCCTGGGCTGTTGCGGAAAAATCTGAAGCAGCCTAGAAATACACGATTACCATCCTCAAGCCAATTTTCCCTTTGTAGTTCATACTGCTCTGGCATCTCTTTAAAGGGTTCCCTGTGAGTTACCACACTAACTGTCAAACAACTTGTGCCTTCTTTCTAGAGCCACCAGTGCCTTTCTCCATGGCTCCTGCAAGCTCCCTCCTTCTCAATGGGCTGCCACACCTTTATCTGATCCTGGCTGAGGAGTGTTGGTGGCCGAGGTCGCCACAGCAGCTGGCAGAAACGATCTTTGTTGTTCTTCTGCAGAAGACGTCCTTGGAAAGTCCACAGCCAGTAGGCATTATCCACCTGGAGGGGAGAGGGAAGGAGGGTGCAGGTGAACGGAGCCATTCCAGACCAGTACTTTCCAGCAAGAGAGCTTGCAGCCTTCCTGTCAGTGCAGCAAACACAATCAAATGTTTCACTGGTGCGTAAGACCCCGCCAACTCCACTTAGCTTGCATTTCAGCAGGGGGACAGGCAACCAACAAAAGATGCAATAAATGACCTAACACATTCCACAGGACACTGGGCCAGGCTGGCCTCCTGCCAGAATCAACACCACCACACAGGTAGTTCAGTGACTCCCGTTTTCCTAGCAAGACTTTCTCAGTGAAGGAAGTGCCATCACGGACTCACTGCAGACCAACACTGCCTATGGAAATGGGAGAGACCGAGGTGTGTGATGGGAGCACGATGCCATTCAAACTGAGGCACCAAAAGGGTAACAGAGCAAAATAAAACACAGGGGATGAGGAGAGGAGGCGGGACAGACACCCCTACCCTGAAGGAGTGAAGTCACCCCATTTTGTCCCTGCCTACATCCCACAGATGACTCAGGGCCGGTCTCCCACCTTGTGGCTCCACCAGGAAACGGATGTTATGACATAGCGTCCCGTTGGGTCCCACTCAACGTCGGAGGCCATGTAGTGTTCCGCTATGTTCATCACCGTGCAGTCAGACGTATCGACAAATGCTAAGGCACCATTCATACTACGGAAACAAACATGCTTATTTTGAGTTGACAAATGCTAGTGGCTCCATTCGTACTGTGGAAACTAACATGCTTATTTTACATGCCTGGTTTCACATGGCATTTCCATCACTTGGACAGCAGTTCAGTGGGGCAGCTAAGAGACAGATGGAGGCACCAGCCATCCCCTTGTCTAAGCTGCCTCTTTAATATGGAATTAAGAGTAGGAACAATTTCAGTCATTGAGATGAAACATAGAGTATGACCTGCTGAATATAAAACTGATGATCATGTCTGTAAACCTTCACTCCACATAAAGCTAAAACATACGAGAGAAGGGGCAATCTCATAGGGGAGCTGTGGAGATTTACTGAAGGAAGACAGGAAAGGTACACATGTAAACACTAAAAGCCCGAGAACATAACATTTACAGGAAATCTTCTAAGGTTCAATGTCTCTGATAAGGCAGGAGAAACAAGAAACTAACAGAGTCCCTTAACTCAGAAGCGGAACTTTAGACGTTTCTCTTCACACTGGTCACTTGGCAGGGAAACGAAGGAAGGCACATGCTTACATTCTCACTGCAGCAGATTCTCCAGCAGAGGTGGGATCTCACACCAGGGGAGTGGGTTGGAAAGAATGACAGCATGCAGGCATGCCTTTCCAGTCACACTACAGGAGCACAGCAGGGTTGCCCTGCCCCATTTCTGGGCACTGGGGAAACTCCTCTCAGTACTGCAGTGGGAGAGTGTTAGGTTACACGCCAAGTGCAGAGAATGAGAAGCAGGGCCTGCTGCAGAGTTCACTGCTACAGCAGTTACACAAGACTATTCACATATTCAAGGAGCTCTGGTAGCGTAGTGGTTACGAATCGGGCTGTGAACCGCAAGGTCAGCAGTTCAAAACTACCAGATGTTCTGCAGGAGAAAGATGAGGCTTTCTGCTCCTGTAAAGATTTACAGCCTCAGAAACCCTGTACAGGGTCGCTATGAGTCGGAATCGACTCCACGGCACATAACAACAACAACATTCATATATTCACAACATATGACCAGCAGCTCAATCGTCAAACACTAAAGACTCACCTCCTCAGACCAGCCAGTACCACAAACTGTCCTTGTGGACTCCAGAAGATAGTATTTGCCTGCTGCTTATCAAACATCTCTGAAAGGAAAGAATGAACCTGTAGTTAGCCCATACCTTGGCAGTAGCACACACTGCCCCCTAGAGGCAGACCAGCATGACTGCGGGCTGGCAGCCAGAAGCCGGCCTGTGAAAGGAGCTTTAGAAGGCCCACCATTTATACACAACTGCATTGCCATGAGTCAGCAACCCTGTAGGGTTCTGAAGCTATACATCTTTACGGAGCAGACAGCCCCATCTTTCTACCTCAGAGAAACTGGTGGGTTTGAACTGCCGGCCTTGTGGTTAGCAGTCCAAAGATTATTCTATAGTACCATCAGGGCACCTTTTAAAAACCCCCTATAAAAAACAAAAAACAAAAAACCCTATAATCAAGGAGCCCTATGGAGCTGTGGTTAAAGTGCTTAACCACTATCTAGAAGGTCGGTGGTTTCAACCCATCAGCTGCTTGGCAAAACTATGTGGCAGTGGCAATTTGCTTCTAAGATTTAGTCTCAGAATCCCTGTCGGGGCAGCTCTACTCTGTCCAGCAGGGTCTCCAAGATGCACCGACTCAGGGCAGTGAGTTTTTGAACAGGAAGTTATGACCTATGCCAGAGGGACGATGAGGGCAAGCAATATTTTGAAGCGTTAATATGATTTATGGAGTCCTAGTGTGGCACTGTATGATAAACGCTGGACTAAAAAGTCATTTGATATCGCAAAGTTGGTGGCTCCAACTCACCAGCTGCTCCTCAGAAACCCTATACAGGATCACTATGATTCTGAAATAACTTAACGGTGGTTTACAACAAAACAACAAATGTCTCAAGGTAATGGGACCAAGAAGCCCATTTAAAGTGAACATTTATGACCACAAAGACTCAGGGGCCACATGTCAGTCTCAGCTGGAACCAAACCCAGTACAGACAAATCACTCTGTCTCACAGCAACCTTGTATACAGGCAGGAGCAGCCAGGCCCATTCCTGTGCAACCTCAAGGGTCGAGGACTCACTCTTCCAGGCCCTCAGGCGTCCCTGTTGCATGCACATCAAACACCTGTCACATCTGCCATCCCTCTCCTCACTCCCTGGAGGGGTCCAAGCAGAGGAGGTAGAGATAAAGGCTAAAGGGCGAGCATATCCGTTCACATCAGGTCAGACAAGGGGACAATCCTTCTTAGCTGACAGGACTTGGAACAGACACGGATGAGGCACTGTGACACAGGTGCTTAGTGGGTGAGCCTCTTTACAGGAAACCGCAGAAGGCACAATATGCAGAAGGTTCCAGTACTTGCTGTCTGGCTTTCACAGTGGAAGTGTTCTGACAGTCTGAACCGGCCTAGATTTCCTTTTGCAGTCACACCTTGTTTTATGGTGGATCACAGAGAGTGCACTGTTTACAAGTTGTAAGGCTTGTGGAAGTGTCGCATGAAGCAAGCCCCCAAGACCCATTTTCCACCAATCTGTGCTCACTTCTTGTTTCCTGCTTCTCCATAATCCTACAGCATACTGACATCCAGGAGACAGTCTAGGTCAACACTTCACACACTGGGAAATCAAATGTAGTGTGACCCACTTGACTGTGACCTTGGCTTATTGTGGTTCTGGAACCCAGCCTGTATAGTGTCTTCGCCAATCAGCCTGTGTGTTACATGGATTCACAGTGTGATGTCAAGTCAATGTGGTCAAGTGCCATCCAGTTGGTTCTGACTCACAGGGTTTCCAAGGAGCGACTAGTGGGTTTGAACCACTGACCTTGTGGTTAGCAGTCCAGTGTGTATCGTAAAGTGCCACCAGACAGCTTCAGCAGGGCTCCAACAGTGCAACTGCTGTTGTTGTTGTTAAGTGTTGTTAACTCAGTTCCAACCCATAGCAACCCTGTATAAGGTTTCTGAGGAGCAGCTGGTGAGCTTGAACCACCGACCTTGCAGCTCAAATGGCTTTGCAGTCTGGCGCATTAGCCCACAGCACCACATTCTACCATAAAAGATGCTGGACTCTAGAGAACCAACAACTAAATCTTTAACAGATGGAAAATCTTTCCAAGACAATGGGATTAGACCATTGTCCTACAGGGCACCTGTAACAGAAACCTTGTACAGAAAGCCCCAACCCTAAGGGTCCATGCAGTAGGGACAGTGAAGTGTGTGGGAAGATGGCCAGTGCCAAGGAAACACAGGAGCTGTGGTAAGCCCACTGGCTCAAGGTCAGCATCCTCACTCCAAGATATGTGGGTCCTGGCTGCTGCCAAGTGACCCCACAAAAAAGGACCAAGATAAGAGTAGAAGCAAGATGCCTGAGAGCAGGATTGGGCATAGGGCAGTTATAACACAACGGCAGTCCTGCCACAGGAAAAGCAAACAAGTAAAAGGGCCTCTGCTGGTCCGGGGGAATGAGTGCCATTAGGCCTCCACTCCTACTCCCTGTACACCCCAACGTGCTTGGGGCAGAGAAAACAGGTTGACTACATGTAAGGGTGCCCCCAACAGCTAGAGACCACACTTCCAGCCACAAGAACAGAAGTGCAGAGCAGCCAGAAGACCCCTGTGACTACAGGTGCTCACGTCCCCCATGCTGCTCAGACTGTCACCAAATTAACAGATGATTCAGGCAAATCAGCCAGTCCTCATGGAGCAGTGACTAGGACATGTCAGCCCACTCCTGGGGTCACTTACTGATAAGCTCAATCTTTCCATTGCTTTTGACGTGGTAGAAAGATACTGATATCCGGGGCGCCTCTCCATGGAGCACAGCGAACTTACTGCCATTTGGCTCCCAGGCAAAGGCGATGATGGTCTCTATAATCAATAACCACATAAAGAAAATAGTTAGAAAATAGTATTCCCAATCACAGTTCAAATCCTCACAACTAGAGAAACCCCCTCCCACCAAATCTTGAAAATCAACGACAAGGGCCATGCAGTAAATAATGGCAAAAGCCCCCCACCACTTGGTGTGAATACGGTTTGTGTGTGGTACTCTGTGTAGTTCGAGCCTCTAGACCTGGAACCGGACCCATCTCCCAGCAGCCAGGCACAGAGTGGCACCTACAGTGTCCTGAGCTGACCATGGTGTGTCACTAACAAACTCGGCCTTTCTAAACTTAAACAGCAGGTTTACAGCAGAACTGTTGGTAAGTGCCATCTAGTAGATTCTGACTGATAGTGACCCTGTGTGGGGTTTCTAAGGAGTGGCTGATGGGTTTGAACCACCAACCTTGCAGTTAGCAGTCTAGTGCTTATCCTACAGCACCACACTAGGACTCCATTCTGATTCATAGCAACCCAATATAGGGTTTCTTAGGAGCGGCTGGTAGGTTTGAACCACCGACCTTGTGGTTAACAGTCGTGTTCATCCTACAGTACCACACAGGCCTTTCTATCCTGATGGCACAGCCAGGTCTGACACAGGTTCCTCATGTCTGTGTAACCTTCCCCTCCACTTCCTAGCACTACAAGGAACAAAAAATATAGGCAAAGTCTCCTAGTCAGAGGCAAAGACACAGCACCAAAGGTTTTTGCTGGGTCTAAGCCTTGAGCCCATGGAAGAAAATCAGCTTTACTGTAATGTAAAATTAAAAGCAATACTAAAACAGCAGGTAACCCATGCAAAAGAACCACCAAAACAGGCATACACCCTTCAAGTCGAAGAACAAACACACCCATGAAGTCAAGCAAGAATGTTGTTCTGAGTGTCAGACCAGAGCGGCATCTGAAAGTGTACTGCACCTGTTCTCTACGTGATCCCTCACTAGGAGTGAAGGACTGACAACCTGCCGCTGGCACCTTCACTCAGCAGGGGCGTTACTAACGGGACCAGGAAGGAAGAGGGGGATCTGCACTGATGATGAGACCACAGTGGGGAAGCTCAGGGCTGAGGCAATAAATCCAGTGTGAAAGCGCAAAGAAAACACCATTTCAACAATCAAACGACCAAGATGCAACTTGCCTTTCATTTCTACCACATCGACAGGTACCTGTTTTTCCCTCATTCGGAAAATTTCAAAATTTGTGACAACACCCTGTAAAAAAAAACAAAAATAAAAAGGGTGACATTCGGCCACTTGGGAGCATGAAGAAAATGGCATCAAAGGACCATTTGAGCATTTAATGACAGGTTGTTTATATATTCAAGCCACAGGACTATCTGTGGACACATCCCTGCTGATGGATGTCACACATTCTCAGATGTGCTAAGGGAGGTATGAATCAGTACAATCTCCATTGGAAGCCAATTGGCCATCTTGAGGAGTGTCAAAGGTTGATAGGAAAATGGAATGAAAAGATAATGGAATTTCAGGCTTATCACAGAATGATCAACTATTCAAGCTCAAAAGGGCAGGATTTGCCAAGGACCAAGTTCAGAAGGGTGGAGAAAGGAGAAATGGAAACAGGAAACAGAGAGGAAGTAGGATTAAGTGATGTTATACTGGGGGGGATTGCAATCAATGACAGGAAGCAAAACATGTATGAATTGTTGAATGGAAAACTAACAGTCTGATCCACAACTTTCACGCAATTCACAATAAAGACATTTGATGGAGATATGGAGAGAGGGAGCAGCTGAGGATTCTAGACTGAATGGAGAGATATGGAGAGAAGGACTGAAAGCTGGCGGCCAGGAAGCAGACTTGTAGAATGTGCCCTTTGGTGGTGTAAATTATTATATATACTTGAGTGTTTAAAAAAGAAAAAAAGTAGATCCAGGGTATGGAGGATGGTAGAATCTCCACTGAGTAGTATGCAATCTGTCTAGGCGGGGCTGATGAAAGGAAATGGGATAGGTCTCTTGTGATATAGTACTGAATAATTGTTATCAGGACTGACTGTCAGGGTAAAGAAATGTAAAGGTAGACACATTCTGCAGCAAGAAGGGGAGTGATTAATTTTTCAGTCTAGGAGCGGAGGTCCCTGGGACCTTCAAGGGAGAAGAGTGGAGAGTGGGAGGGACCCTACCCAGAGAAGCAGTGATGCCAGAGATGGAGGCAGAGACAATGACGTGGAGAGATGGAGCAGCTGGGGACTTTAGACGCAGAGAGGGAGAGGGACTGTGTGTTGATGACTGGGGGTGGGGTGGGGGTGGGGCAGCACAGTCTTACAGGGTATGTATACTCTGTGGTTAGTTGATGATGCATAGAGGGGACTGTGATCATGGCAATGAAACGATATATGATAGGATGAATGTAAAACTAATGTTCTCCCATGTAAACTATCACATAATTCACAACAAAACATTTAAAAAAGAAAAAAAAGGAAATAAAATGAATAGAAAGAAATACCGTTAACTGATAGTACGTGGAGGGGATTATAATTATTGTAATGAAACAAAGCATATGATTTATTGAATGTAAAACTGATGATCTGCCCTGTAAACTTCACTCAATTCACAATAAAAACTCCAAAAAAAAAGGATAATGGAATTTTTCCAGGAACTTTTAAAAGCGCCCTGGTATGCACTCTTTACAACTTTGGTGGTGCAGTGATTAAAATGTTCAACCAAAAAAGGTTGGCAGTCCAAACCCACCAGCTGCTCTGCAGAAGATGTAGCAGTTTTGCTTTTATAAAGCGCAGCCTTGAAAACTTCCAGAGGCAATTTATCCTGCCCCGTAGGCTCGAGTCAGAACTGACTCAACAGCAATGGGTTTGGTATAATATAGACAAACAGAGAGACGTTGTGGGCTCAGACCACTGCAATAGAGCAAATGGCAAATGCTGCAGTAAAGTGAGCCACGCATTTTTTTTGTTTCGCAATGCAAACAAAAGTTAGGTTTACACAGTACTGCAGTCTGCTAATGTGCAGAAGGCTGTGAAGCGAGGGACGTGACTGCCAGTGGCTCTAGGTTCTTTCTTGGGGGATGGAAAGCATCTGTGATTAGATATTGGTGGTGGTTGTAGAGCTTTGTGGAGCCACAGAAAAGTACCGCATTCTATTCTTCCCAAGGTTAAAAAAAGAGAAAAGTCAAGCTATTTTTTAATAAGGTGAACCAATTTCCTAAAAGCCAGCTATCCCTCTCAATCAGAACAGGTCAAAGACTCTAGGTATCATCATCCTCTAAACCAAATGGCAATGGTGTGTGTGGAGAGTAAGCACTCCCGCTGCCACCTGCTCACCTGGGTACCCTTTGGAGTCCTATCTACTTTAACACACAAGTAATCGCCATTCTTTTGCCAATGCAGCTTGCAATCCACCACGTTGAACAGATTCCTGACTCTGATCTCTTGTCGGGTAGGAAGCTGCATCAGGGTAACCCTGGCCGGAATATCCTTGTCTTCGGGCACCCAGAAGGCGATGATATTGCCACCAGGAGACCAAGAGAAGTCTCTGCAGAACAAAGAATATACAATGTTATACAAACACAGCCTGAGCATAAAGACAAAAAGCAGAAGAAACCCAAATGAATTTCCAATAAAAACGCAGAAAAGCCTGTACACTGGTCACTACTGACAATGAAGTGTTGGCAACGTCCTGACACTGAGCAGGTTTCTTTCCACCAGCAAGATGAGTCCGTCATCCCACACAGCCATAGCAGGCAGGAAGAATTCAAACCCCACACTCTTCATCCATGTCACATACACACAGAGCTGCTGTAAGACAGTGAATTTCAGGCTGACGATCCAACTAGATGATTTCTAGATTGGCTCAGGTACGACAGGATAAAGACAGACTCAGGGTCCCGTCTCCTCCATAGGACAGTAGAGAACAATGCAGGCATCCACAAGTATGAAAAGATTTCTGAACAGGTTAGATTCTCTTTGTTTTGCATGTACCAGTCACTATCTGCCTCATTACATAAAAAGTCAAAAGAGCTTCAAAAAAGTTCATGGAAAAATTCCGTTCTTTAAACTCCACAGTTCCATGAACTTTTGAAGCCCTTCTAAAAGGAGTAAGCAGCATGCACATGGCTGGTTTGCTGCTACGTTTTCAGACACACACCACTGTGCATATCCCCTTCCACAACGGTGACATGAGCCATCTAGCCCATCCCACAGACCTGCAATGTGGCAGCAAGCCCACGCAGTGATGGTATGTCTCCCCCCCAGACTTTGTGGAAATGAAATGACCCAATCATGGAATGGGATAGAGAGAGCTTGAAAATGAGAACCCTAGGAGGTTGGGGCAGTTCCTCAATGGGCAACCCAAGCCCTGTGCCCACCCACCAAGCTTATACTACAGAAAGTCCACTTGTTTCTAATAAACTCCACAAGAACATCCACTTACTTTATTCCAGAGATCTTTAAACTCTTCTTGTCCAACAGACCCATAGACTGTGCAAAAGAATAAGAGGCACACACAGTCAATGAACCATGCCAACATTTCAACCACCATACAGTTTTTAAAAAGGGACACTGAGGTTTCTAGTGTGGTTCTGCCAGGAGAACAGGATAGAAAGGAGAGTGACCGATGGACAATGAAGCCAGGTAGCAAAACACACACACTTCTGACACCCATGTCATCAACTCCTGCCCTTAAGGTGAGAGGGGTTGGCATGAATATGAAACAGATTCCTGGACATGAGACGGGGGCAGGCAGATAAAGGGGAAGCATTACACAGCCACGAGGAGTACACTACAATTAGCTGACAGGGCAGCTCTTTTCTCAAAGCCTTAAAATTGCTTACAGGAGTTTCATAGATGCTTAGGGTGTCAAGTGTCATTCTGGCAAAAAATTTGCCATCATGGCTCCACCTGCAAATTAAAAAAGAGGTGTCAGGATGTTTCAAGGACAAAGGAGAGGTGGTAGAAAGACCATCCATCAGTCCCGCTGGTTAACCGACTTACTTGAAAATCGGCCAGTGGGCAGAGCTTTCACAATGGAAACCCCTTTTCTTGTGGCCGGTCAGGATGTCCCAGATGATGATGGCCTGAGGGTCTTCCTGCGTGTCCATCAGGGGGCTGAACGTCACCAGGTACCTGTGCAAGGAGAAAGAAATACATGCTCTGTAAGGCACGCCACACTGCAGCCCCACCTCTTCTGAGGAGCACTGTCACCACGAACATGGTGAGCACAAGCCCCACTGTCCAGTCCAGGGACCGAGTTCGACAACTGTCAGGTAACTGGAGGCACAGCCCAAACCACCAGACAGGCATTAAGGCTTGTGGAACGAAGCACTTTTCCCCAAACACTTCACTTCCCTGACAAAAGTCTGCCATCAGCTCAGCCCACCATGAGGTGTGGCTGGAAACAAAGCCAGGACCCCCTATCACATAAGCGCTGTAGGAGGCACCCCAAAGTGTCCTCTACAATCAGGACAAGAAAGGAGTAGGCAGATGCCAAACACAAGTCAGCGGCCCCCTCTAGGGATGGGACAGAGCCCTGCTGATACAGTGCTCAAAGTACTCAGCTGTCAATAAACAGGCCAGTGGTTCGAACCCATCAACCGTTCCATGAGATAAAGATTTAGCAGTCTGTTCAGACAGATTACAACCTAGGAAAATCCATGGGGTAGTTCTACTCTGCCCTACAGGGTCACAATGAGTTGGAATCGACTTAGCAGCAGTGGGTACATCTTTATTAGTCTTTAAATAAGAATATGAAGGAGGCAAACAGAACAGCTATTCATATATGGTTTAAAACCAAGAGGGTGTAAGAGGGAAATTCACGCCTGGGGTTTCTTCCAGAAATTACTTGCCTACCTTGCTGGCTTTTTGACAGCTAACACCTGTGTGTTTCATTGATTCAAAGTGACAGAATCCCAAACCAGATTCATCCCCAATAGCAATGGGAGAGAAACAAGCATATTGAAAAGCAGCAGCAGACCCCAAGCTTGTTTCCAATAGCGCCTTCAATCATCTTTTTATAATAAGGCTCCTTTTATACATCCTAATTACCGAGATTAAAAACATGACCTCTCCCACTTTTTACAATGTCAAGGATTTCATTTTACTTGGTGATACAATCAATACCCAAATAATGTATTGCACTGGGCTGCAAAAAAATCTCTTTATAGACTTATGCCTATGAATGCAGTGACTAAAAATTCTAACCAAAATGGAAGGATGCTCCATATCAAGGAACAAACTTGTTTCTTCAGTATACTGAGTTGATAGGGACCAGAAATTAGACATTGGCTATCAAAATGGGGAGGCTACAAGGCAAGTAGTGGCTGGTGTACAAGTTTCATGAGTGTGCTTAGTTGCAGAATAAGGGGGGTCAAGGTAGAATCCCTACTGAATTGTTTCCCTCTTTCTCAGATGGATCTGGTCAAAGAGAGTAGGGAACAACAGTGATAGAATTTTATGACTTAATTATGAATTGTGAGCAGGACTAATTGTGATGGTCACAACTGTAATTGTAGAAAATGTGTAACTAAAAGGAGGGCGTTGTTTGTTGTTGTTGTTAAGTACCGTGGATTCGGTTCCAACTCCTAGTGACCCTGCACAGGGTTTCCGAGGCTGCAAATCTTTAGGGAGCAGAAAGCCTCATCTTTCTCCTGCGGAACAGCTGGTAGTTTCCAACTGCTGACTATGAGATTAGCAGCCCAATTCGTAACCACTACGCTACATAGGTGATCTTTAATTTCAGGAACAGATGATCCTGGCCAGGACCATCAAGAAAGCAAAGCATGAGTGCAGCGTGCGATCCCAAACTAGGAAAGTGGCAACAGCAGAGACAGTGACTAAGTGCCTGTGGGCTGCCCAGCAGAATGTGTTGTTTGGACATTTATATGACTACATATTTTTTTGCTTAAATGTATATCAAATTTTTTGTCCTGTTCACTTATGAAATAAGGATGCAGATGGGGAGCCAAAGGTAGGAAGTCAGGTAAATGTTGTTACAGGGAGCAAATTGTAATCATTGAGATGAAACAAGGAGTATGGTTTGGGAATGTAGCTGATGGTCTTGTCTATAAACCTTCACCTAATTCACAATAAAAGGTTAAAAAAAAAGTAACTATGTCATTTTCAGGACTGGGGTGCACCTGACCACTCCATGGTATTTTCAATTGCCTCATATGCACGTGAAAGTTGGACAGTGAAAAAGATAAATGAAAAATGGATGCCTTTGAGTGATGGTGCTGGTGAAGAATACTGAATAGACCATGGACTGTCAGAAGCATGAACCACTCTGTCTAGGAAGGACAACAAGCATGCTCCTTAGAAGCAAGGGCAACAACACATCTTACTTTGACCATGTTACCAAGGGGAACTAACCCCTGGAGAAGGACATCATGCTTGGTAGAGGATCAGCGAAAAAGAGGAAGACTCTCAATACAACGGACACAGTGGCTGCCAACAATGGGTTCAAAATTAACATCAAATGTGTAGACAGCACAGGACCAGTGTTTCATCCCATTATGTGTGGAGTCACTGAGCTGAAACAACTGCAAAAATTTATGGAAAAATCCAATTATCTTTTCATTCATTTTTTCCACAATTTTTTTTGAAGCCCCCTTGTACACTTAGTGACCCTGTATAGCTCCTCCAAGGCTATAAATTTTTACAGAAGCCGACTCAAACTGCTGACCTTGCAGTTAGCAGCTAACAGGTAAACCACACTGCCACCACAGGGTTCCATGTCAATGAACTAATTTAGAACTATTTCTTGGTTGAGCACTTTAGCAAAAACTAGACTTTCCAGAACCATCTGCACGGCTCACATTTCAGTCACTTCAACAGTTCAGGTGTTGGCAGTTTACAAAGTTCTGGATATGATGAGTACCAGGCAGTCCAGCAGTCTGTTCATGGTTAACATATGGATGATATCCTAACGTGGACATCACTCTATATGCTGAGAGGACAGGCACAACCAGTAATACCTGAACAAATGGAGATGGCCCCAGGTGGTGAAGAACAGTGTGAATCTCCGTAAGTCAGTCTAGGGCTCTGCTAGAAGAATAGACTGCTACTGGGGTAGGAGCTACTGGGAAGGGAACTAACCAAACAAGTGCAAAGCAACTGGAATTAAGGTGTACTCTAGGAATACCCTGCAGAAAAACCACTTCGTCAAAGTTAAAGAAGTTCCACAGATAGGCCTAGCTGAAGGTTTACAGAAAGCACAAAGGATAAAGGAATCAGACACTGAGAGGAAGCAGGTTATAAATTTCTGCTGCTGTCACTTAAGCCCCTCAATATGACAAAGAAAGATGGATGCAGGTCTGAGGGAAAAGACTGGAGACACAATAACTAGACACAACATGTACATGGTGTCTGAACAGAGCAGCTATAAAACCCATTGAGGGAACAAATGGGAAGTCTGAGTAGCTTGAGACACCAAAGCACACTGAGGAACTGCTGTAGCCTTGTGAGGGTGACATCACTGTGGTCATGCAAGAAAGCATCCTTAGTGTGTGCAGGCACCTACTTCAGTACAAACATCTGCAATTTACTCCAAGATATTCAGCAAATTTATTTTTAAACAAATATGGTAATCTAAGACATTGCTTGTTGTTAAGTGCTGTCAAGTCAATTCTGACTCACAGCAACCCTATACAGGGTTTCTGAGGAGTGGCTGGTGGTTTGAACACCAATCTTAAAACTGAACTTTCAGTCCAGTGCATTACCCTGAAGCTTCACACCAGGACTCCAAGATATCACCAAACCTAGATAATTAGAATACAGATGTTCATTGCTGTAATCTTTTTATGATAAAATGCTGAAAGACAAATGGTCAGGGACTCACCAAGTACCAGGTGCATGGTGACACAGAGCTCTGAATGAGCCCAGAACACAAGGACCAAACCAAATCCATTGCCATCACATCGATTCTGACAGCCAGCCAGCCCAAAGGGCTGAGCAAAACTGCATCAGAGGGTTTCCAAGGCTGTTGTTTTTACAAATGCAGACTGTCTCAATTTTTCTCCTAGGGAGCGGATGGGGGCGGTTCAAACCACTGACCTTCCAGAAAGTGCTTTAACCAGTCCACCATGAGAGTACCTACTGAAAGGGCACAACTATGAAATAAAGCCATTATGTCACAAAGATACAGCAGCAGAAAAACTTGTAGGAGGTAGAGATGAGAGGGAATATGCTAGAAATACAAAGGGCTTCAGAGGCAGACCAGCAGCCAGGGCCTCCAGAATCATGAAGAAATCAAAGCATGGTCCAATTGCTGAAGAGTGGAGGAGCAGAGATGGAAGAGACTGTGTGTGTAAGGCCTTTAGTCAATGTGTCCTTCGTCCTAGCTTTCTTCATGCTGTCTCCTCCTGCACTTCTCACATGGGAAAGGCACCATTCTGAATTGAGTGCTATAGATCCTTACTGGACCAGCTAACCGTCCTCATGTGTGATCATTCATTCATTTATGGGAAAGACACCCTCTGAGACCCGGTCCTGAACGTATGGGGGATGGGTGCTTTAGATCCTTCTAGGAATCCTCAAGGAGGACAAGCAGCACACTCTCCATACCCAAGGATCACATCCATGTCAAATCTCCTGACATTAACAACAGTGTGTGCTGATGGTGAGAACATGGCCTCTCTTAGGAAACACACACTTAATACTGAGCAGTGTTGGAGAGGAGGGATAAAGCCCAGCACAAACATGTTACAACCACTCGGTCACAGTGTGAGGGTGTCCTGCTTACACCACTGAGGAATGAAATATGGCAGCTGGTGTGAAGTGACAAGAATGGTGAGCCTGTGTTTTCCTGACAGCTCACCTCTCACAGGGCGAGAAGTCAATGAGCTGGACACCTTGGTGGCTGAATCGCTGGATCTGTTTGAACTTCTCTCCACCCCAAAGCGCAATGCCTCTCTGGTGGAAGGTAGCCAGGTAGGTTCCCCTAGGAGACCAGCGCACATATGTCTCCGTCCATCTCTGTGGAAAGAGGGGCAGCAGCATGAACAAAGCAGCAAAAAGATATGCACCAAGACACCTCTGATGACCATAACTTCATCCCTCACAGTCTTTACCGCATATTTTACCTTTCAGTCTGCACCATGCAATACCAGCTTTTAAAGTTTAAAAAAGAACACACATTTTTCATGTGCACAATTCCACCAAGTCAATGATGTCAGTCATGTGCAGCCAACACCTGTACCATCCCTCACGTTTGTCAATGAAAACCACAAGCCTGCTTACTACCCATGACGTGTGTAAAGCTGGAAATGGGCTAAAAGTTGTTCCCCGAGACATCATTCCAGAAAATTATACTCCACCTGCTCTTTTGAGTGTTTCTGGTGGATTGGAATCCTCACTGTGCTAGATATACAAAGAGTGCCCGCACATAGCAGCACATGCGTACCGCTCTTTCTTCAATTGAGACAGGATCCTTCACGTCGTTCCAAAATATGGAGGTACGGTCTCCACTCTCAAAAATCACGCTATACTGGTCTCGGCACTCAGCCTCTTCAAGCCAGTAACGCAAATTGCCCTAGACAGAAAATCAAAGGTGAGAAAGAGCAGAGTGCTGCATTAATTTAGACTATAACACCACAAATCCCTGTAACATCTCTGACCCCCAAGGAATCCACAACTCAGGCTGAGAGGGCAAGTACTTCCTGTCACACTACATACCAGGTCTTTGAAAGGCTGTTTCTCTGGAATATCCCACTCATCACTGATAGTCATGTACCTGGGAAAAGAAACGAGATGTTAACACACAGCACAGTAATGGCTAGAGCAGTGACTACAGCTGTGGTGGTCCTGTCCTCCCCAGAGGTGATGGATAAGCATTTTTGATTGGACATGTTTATGGGAGCCTGGGCCATGTACCAGCCCTGCAGTGGTCTGAGCCAAAAAGAACAAACTACCCAGAGGCCAACAGCTCCCCACGGAGACAAACTAACATGGGGTGCATGGGTGCTCAGGGCTGAAGTCTGAACCCACTTGTCAAAATCAGTGAAGAGGTTGACCCTGAAGGTGTGCTGCTTGTCAAGTTTGTAGCCGTCAGCGTTCTTCACAGCATCCAAGGCGTGGGCAGGAGATGCGTACTCCAGGAAAATATAGCTGAAACAAGGAAGAGGGTAGGCTTGCAAAAATACAGACTTTGAGACTAAGCAGGTCACACCAAGGCATGACTGGTGAGCTGCGGCCACACACATGATCATCTCATGACGTGCCATACAAAGCAATCTCACATGTCAGATACATAGGAATAGTTCAGTATCTCATACATCAGATACACACACAAGAATCACATGCCATGTCAGATACACCAGAGAAATACAAGCTGGCTGGAGAGTACTACTCACCCCTTTGTCTTTCCATCCTCTTCTGGATAATAGTCGTTTGTGATTTTCCCAAACTTGGAAAAGATCTTATAGATGACATTTTTCAGCTTCTCAAGACGGTCAGGTCCCACCTGGGGAACGTTGTCCACCACAATCACCGAATCGATTCCATCCGCCTCCTGTGGACGATCTCTGAGAACATCTCCCAGCAACTCTGCACAAGGAAGGAACGGTATCAAATGATTTTCTCGACCAAGACAAACATTAATATAGTAACTGAGCACATGAAACGAATTTCCAAGAAACCAAAAATGAATAACCAATCTAAGTGTTTTACCTATGAACAAAAGTTTGCTTCAAGACTTAAAACATGAAAAGTGTTTGGAACCTCCTGATAGCAGATGAGTAAGGCCCTCATGACATATCAATAATGAAGAGTTAAAAAAAAAAACCCAAACTTTAATAATGTAAAAAACACAGAGAGGAAATTCTAAGGCCATCCAATCAATAAGGGAGCTCTGAAGAGGTCACTCTAGCAAACCTTTAGGCAAAAAAAAATGCTACATGTTAACATTAAGAATTCCAAACTGGCATTTTGCAAGATTTTAGTACATAATTAAATCTTTTACTGCTATATACATTTATAGGACTTTGTGTTTCCATAAGTACGAATTACTAGAAATTATCCAGAAGGAAAAAAAAAATATTTATTGGTCCTGAATTGAGATAGAAAATAACTTGAAGGAAGAGAAAAGGGTGTCAAGAATGCACTCAAATCTGGAATTAGGCAGATGCACTACATGTGTCTCTACAACAAAGATTGTTGTTGTTAGATGCCATCGAGTCAGTACTGACTCATAGCAACCCTATGCACAACAGAACAAAACACTGCCCAGTCCTGTGCCAACCTTACAACCACTGCTATGCTTGAGCCTACTGCCATTGTCACTGTGCCATTCCATCTCGTTGGAGGTCTTCCTCTTTTCTCCAACCCTCCACTTTACCAAACATGATGTACTTCTCCGGGGACTGGTCCTCCTGATATGTCTGAAGTATGAGAGACAAGTCTGGCTATCCTGGCTTCCAAGGATCATCTGGCTGTATACTTCTTCTAAGACAGATTGGTTTGTTCTTTTGGCAGTCCATGGTACTTACAATATTCTCCTCCAACACCTTAACACAAATGCATCAGTTCTTTTAGTCTTTCTTATTCACTGTCCAACTTTCACATGCATGAGGCTATTGAAAATACCATGGCTTGGCTAAGGCATACCTTAACCCTCAAACTGACATCTTTGCTGTTCAACAGTTTAAAGAGGTCTTGTGCAGCAGATTTGCCCAATGCAGTATGTCATTTGATTTAACTGCTGCTTCCATGAGTGCTGATGGTTGATCCAAGCAAAATGAACTCTTTGACAACTTCAGTCTTTTCCCCACTTATCTTGATATTATTTATTGGTCCAGTGATGAGTTTTTGTTTTCTTTACACTGAGGTGCAAAGATACAACAGAGATAAAATAAAACAGACATAGATGAAAATTCTGGCACCTTGAACTTCAGAATGAAGGTTAAAATGGTGACTGGAACACCTGCTGGGAGGAGGGGCTGAGCAGGGATGGTGAGAGAGGCAGACTGATTGGTGAAAAGATGGCCAGATGCAGCTGGACCACCTTGTGAACAGTTTTGGCAGTGGAGGAGGCCTGATAGGCGCAGATTTGGGAAGCTGATGGAAAATGTGCAATTTCTTATTTTTCCCCATGCTCCCCTGGTGACCAACTCCCACTCTCTTTTACCCCGAGCACAGATTCTGCTGTCTGAAAGTTCAGACCTTACGATTCAACCTACTTTTGAAGTCCAGCGCATTAACCCACAGTGCCACACCAGGACTCCAACCCAGATATAGAAGTATTTAAAGTAAAACAAGCCTACAAGACTGAGAACAGGGAAACAGAGATATCAGTGTGTAACGATACACACTGCAAAAAGAGGGAATAGTGTAGATACAGAACTTTCAAATGGCAAGGAAGTCAAGTAGATTTCAAGATAAAACAAACTGCTTTAAACAGGGGGCAAAAATTAATAAATTATAGAGTAACCACAAAGAAAAATACATATGCATATCAAAATAAAAGGAAAACCAGAAAGATTCAGTAAACAATAACAAGTGAAAACGACAAGGAAACCTACAAAAAATGAACTCAGCATAGAAAATTATGTGGAACAAAGAATCCAGCAGCATCACAAAAAAAAACAGAGAAATAACAACAATCTATACCTACTGATAATTATACTGAATGTATATGGGTTAAATGTACCAGTCAAGAGACATAAAGAACAGAATGGACAAGAAAACAGGATCCTTTAATATGCTGTCTACAAGAGACATATCAAAAAGATAGACAGTCTAAATGCCCATCAACAAAAGAATGGTTAAACAAACTTAGGTACATACACACAACAGAAAACTACACAACATTGAAGTGTAATTATGAATCTGTGAACACTTCACATGGTTGAACCTGGAAGACATTCTGCTGAGTGAAATTAGTCAATCACAAAAGGACAAACATTACATGAGACCAATGTTGTAAAAAGTTAAGAAAAGGTATTCTTGATAAAAAGAATCTATAATGGTTATGGGGTGAGGGGAAGGGAAAATCATTCATGGGCTAGATGATAAGACACATGTTAACATAGGTGACAGGGCAAGATATATGCAAGAGGGAGGTTAGCAGAGGAAAGATGAAGCAGGAGTCACAAGGAGGAATGCAAGAGTTAAAGTGAAAAGAGATAAATGCTGTTAACTGTTGGTACATGGAAGGTATTACAATCACGCAATGAACATTGCAAAGTACATGATTTATTGAATGTAAAACTGGTAATCTGCTCTGTAAACTTTCATTCAATTCACAACTTAAATTCTCCTATCTCCCAAGTTATTTTCGTATTTTTCTAGGCCGTGAACTACATGGAATAAAAACAAACCCTCCCACCCCCACCCAAACCAAAGAAGATGCGAATCCCGCATATGGTGAGCTACCTCAGTGTAAACAGTCCCTCACCAACACTCTATCCCATAAGCTAAACCCAAACCCACTACCATCAAATGATTCCAACTTAAGATGGAGTGGAACTGTCCATAGGGTTCCCAACTGTACATCTCTATGGGAGCAGTCAGCCTCATTTTTCTCTCAAGGAGAAAAATGAGTGGGTTTGAACCATAAACCTTGCAGTTAGCAACTCAAGTCTTCACCCCAGGGTTCCTTTCCCATAAGCCTGCTATTGTTGTTAAGTGCTGTGGAGTATTCCAGCAGTGATTCTTCTTAATGGCACATAAATAATGGTACACTCCTGGTGTGGCACTACAGAATAATGCACTGTACTGCAAGGTCAGTTAGAGATGCAAGGTTGGTAGTTCAAACCCATCAACTGCTCCTCAGAAACCCTATACAGGGTCACTATGAGTTAGAACCAACTCGATGGCACTTAACTTACAACGGGTGGTGTCTGAGGTATGATGAAGACGCTTACAGGGCTATTGGGAGACATCACTCACAATTCCTGACAGTTTCTCTGTATATGCTCACTACAACCTTACTACAATCCCAAACTCAGTGTGTTATATTCATGTCACCTACTTTATAATTAAGATCACAGAAGCCAAGACTTTCTTCAAGATACACACAAACTTCTTAAAACAAGTGCATTTTCAGAAATTGGTTAACTGTAGTAAGAAAAAGAGAAAATAAGACAGGTGTCAAAAGGGCCAGAGAGAAGAAATAAAGGAGAGGAACAGACCCCAAGAGGTGAGGGAAAAGACTGGATGCCTTGGCCAGGCGATGTACGCCTTTCATTCCTTGCCCTGCTCTGGGGAATGTCCACACACATGCTTCTGAGAGGCTGGTACTGCTTTAAACCAGGGCTTGCTCTTAAGGTACTGAATATGAAAGAAAAATGCCATCTTTAAAATACAAATTCTGTACGCTGACTGAGTTTGCCTATAAACCCAAAAACTCTACTACTATGGAGTAGATTCCAACTCACAGCCCTCTTAAGAGGACAGAGAAGAACTGCCCCAAAGTTTCCAAGGCTGCAAGTTTCCAAGATGCTGACTGCCACATCTTTCTCCTGAGGAACAGTGGGTAGGTTTGATCTGCTGAACGAGCACTTAGTTACTGTTCCAGCAGGGCTTGAGGAGCTGTAAAATTACAAGGCACTGGTGAGCAGGCTAGGAGCTACAACAGAAAGACACCAAAGTGCCCTCAGTAGATGGAACCACATAGTAAATGCAACCAAGGAAACTGGAAGGCCATCTCTGAACAATGGTTGAAGAAGAATGCTTGCTACACATGCATCTGCTTGTTTTGGAACTTGATTATTACTCTAACTTTTTATTATACCCTTAGGAATTTTAACATGCTGAATATGACAGATGTTAGAAAAAAAGTCTCTGGTGCATTTCATCCTCAAAAGGTATTTAAGGTGAATTCTCTACCTATTCATGCAATGAAAATTTTCCATAATAAAAAGTGAAAAAACGTTTTTTAAGAGAGAGGATAGGACAAATCCTTTCATTTCAGGAGGCAAGCCTTGTTATAAATGATTTCCAATTAACCTCAACAATTGTGAATAATCTTATATCTAAAAAAATTTTGACATTTAAAAAAAACCTGCCAGTTAGATTTCAAAGAAGCCACAATTGAGACTAAGCAAAAAGGAAAAACAGCAACAGAGGGAGGAGAAAGCCCCAGTCCCAGGAGTATGTTTCACCATAGAAAACTGTAGTTGGTCCAGGGGCTCCTTTCAAAGCCACTCACTGTCACATTATAAACAGCCTGCTAAACCTGACTAGAATTTACAAGGCTTATAAAAAACTTCAGCTTTTATACAAACTGTGGACTCCTTTTGCACAATCTCATGTATCTGGTTTCTAAGGACCTGCCCACCCGTGGTAAGGGCGTACACCCAGTCATTCCATAATGAAGAAACGCGTCTCTTTGATGGTCACTAGCACATGCACCTGGTGCCTCAATCTGGCTCTAAGAGAAGCAGATAATAGCAATTCTTAAAACGAAATAGCAAATGTAAAGGTAAATGATGCTTAGTAAACCAATGAAGACAACACTTAAAGAGTTAAAATCTTGATCTGTTCAGTCAAACACCAAAAGCATTTGAAAACATAAAACTGCAAAGATGACTAAAGACGATGTGATTGTGGGCGAGTGCTATCAAGGCAAGACAAGGGCAACCAGCCAGTCTGTAGGGCCATGCACTCCTCACACAATTCTTCATACTTGGGTCCATTGTCTTATTTTGAAATCCTGCAACTTCTCTAACCCTCTTAGTTGCACAGTGGTGAAGCACTGGGCTACTAAACGAAATGCTGGTGGTTTGAACCCACTAGCTGCTCCACAAGAGAAAAATGTAGCTGTCTGCTTCTTTAAAGATGAGCCTTGGAAACTCAGGGTCTCTTTGAGTCAAAATCTATTCAACGGCAGTGAGTGGTCTTATCTCCCAGACGAGTGGCTTTTCTCATCCAACATCTGACAGCCAGACTTGAATACTGATCATGACCAAGTGGACTGAGGAAAAGCTGAGGAGCAGGCACCTCGCTGTGTCAGCCTGGTAGACAATATGCACTTCAGGTTCACATCAGCTCACAAAGCCCCCCAGCAGAGGCACCTAGTCTGGCTGGCCTGTTCACATAGTGTCCTGACACAAACACTCCAATTTTGGAAATAATTACCATGTTAAGAAATCTATGAACTAGCTGGGCTTAGCAAACGCTTTGAAGCTAAGTTTCAACTGCAGAAAAGGGGGTGCATACGTGATGCACTTAACTTGGGAGAAAGGCTCAGCAATTTACTGCCAAAACATCAGTCCCTGAAAACCCCATAGAGCACAGTTCTGTGTGTCTTGAGTTGACCTCATGGCAACTGGAACTTTAGACAGTGTTTAAAGGCAACAATAATCCCTGGGAACTCAGCAACCTACTCCTCAGGTGATGACTCCTAATGTGTCCTCTGGAGCAGCTCCCATACTTGCTTTCACGTTTGTAATGTCTTTCCTGATTTTTATAGGAACCTTGGTGGTGCAGTGGTTAAGCACTCAGCCCCTAACCAAAAGGTGGGTGGTTGGTTTGATCCCAACAACTGCTCTGTATAAGATAAAGCAGTCTGATTCCAAAAAGATGACAGCCTTGGAAACCCTACTGTTACAAAATGCCATCAAGTCTATCCCAGGAATCCATTTGTAGTACAGTTCTATTGCATCCTGTAGGGTCGCCATGAGTCGGGATGGACTCGCTGGCAGTGGGGTGAGTTGATTCCCGCTTTTTAGGTTGTCGTTAAGTGCCAAAGACTTGGTTTTGACTCACAGCAACCCTAAGTAGCGTTTCTGAGGAAGATCCAGTGAGTTCGAATTGCCAACCTTGTGGTTAGCAGTCCAGTGCTTATCCTATAATACCATACCAGGACTCTGCTTTTTGGTTAGGGTATCTTTCATCTTGTGACATGAAACGTAACATAGTAACAGTGACAGTGCCATCATGCTTAAAATTGACAGCTGCTGGTTTCTTAAACCTTCCTTTTCATTTTGCTTGTCAGCAATCTATATAATTCTGACTCAGTCTGGCTGACCACCAGCACTTCACAAAGAATCTGTTGCTTCATAGCATTTCATTTTCTTGATGCATCAGTAGCAACTTCAACAGGAGTGCTCTTCTTGTTTGTATTTGACCATAGAGATTAGTCAATGCATAAAGGGATCCGCTAATGAGCTTCTAGCCTGCCATTAAAACAACTAAAAAACAAACCCAACCATTGTTTGGCTATCGACAAATCCTCGGGCAGCAGAAACTATGCCTGCAAACCTGCTCAAGGTAGAAAACTCAAGGCAAAGAACCTATAGTTGCTTGCTATTGGGTGTGGTAGAGCCCATTCCATGTCAGAGCGACACCATGTACGAGTTAAAGCCATCCATGGGGTTTTCTATGCTGCCATCTTTACAGGAGCAAATCGCCAAGTCTTTCTTCTTCAGAACCACTGGTTGGGTTTGAATCTGAAAAATAACTTACCAAGACAAGACAAAAGACAAGGAAAGTAGCCTGCCTGAAAGGCTTGGGGGGAAAAAAAGTAACCAAAACATTAATTTGACACTGAAGCTTTGGTGGTTCCACTGTGGTGCTTGGCTACAAACGATAAGGTTACAGGTTCGAACCCCACCCACCAGTGGCTGTGAGAGAGAAAAACATGGTACTTAACAACAACAACAATACCTATAAAGACGACAGTCTTGGAAATCCAACAGGGCAGTTCTACTCTGTCCCATAGGGTCAGAATCAACTCCACAGTGGGTTTGGTTTCTGGGCCCTGCACTATCTTGAAAAGGAACCGTCCCCAAGCCAGAACAATTGTGGGGACAAGCCAATCTATCTCCACCAGACCTGCACCTCCAACTCCTACAGGGAAGTGTCTACAGTCACCCCCACAAGTCAGAATCCCTGTATGTCAGCCCAGGGGCTCCCACAGACGAGTACAAATCCTCCACCCTGGAATTTGGGCAGTCACCCCAGGAGCGTTCAGCTTGGCTCTGCCCCAATGGCTACACTGAGTATGTGGCTGCACAGCCTCTGCCTCCTGTGTGCGCCCTGACAACCACACAGCGCACCCCAGATTCTTGGTTGGAACGCAAAGGTGCACTCCCCTCCGCTCCCACCCGTTTCTATTTCCATTTCTCTAAAGAGCAAATAGACTCATGATGTAGCGCTACACATCAACACCGGACAACCAAATGGTCAGTGGTTCAAACCCACCAGCTGCTCCTCGGAAACTCTAAGCAGGGTCGCTATGAGTCAGAATCGACTCCATAGCCCTTAACAAGACATGAGTAAGGTGTCAGGCTCAAAGGCTCTACTACACATGGAGACGAGACGGTGCCACCTCCCTCATGCTTCCACAGAACCTGGAACTCGGGCGAAAACTTGTCACCTGATGTCCCCAGCCCCCCCAAGTTCTGGATGTGTCTGCGCCGCGAACCCCTCCTGACCCCCTGGCTGTGGGCAAGGCCCTCCCCCAAGTCTGTGTCCAGGAACGGGTCGCGCACCTTCTTCGCTCACGTCGTCCACGAAATCCTCGGGGTCGCTGAAGGAAGGGTCGTCAGCGTCGCCATTCTCCACCGGGCGCCGCCCGCCCTCCGCCGCGTCGCATTCGTTCTCGCCCGCTTCAGTGGACGCCGCCGGAGGCAGGGCCTCGGAGCGGGGTTCCTCCCGAGCTGGGGTCGGGGCGGGGAGCTCGGGCTTCTCCTCCGGGGGCGGCGAGGACGACCGGGACGAGCCCGACGAGGTGCCGGGGACAGCCGTTCTCTCCTCCTCGGCGGCCTCCGGCTCTGCCCTAGCGTCAACCTGGGGCTCAGCCGCCGCCGCCGTCTCCTTCTGGGCCTCAGTCACCGCGTCCGCCGCCTCCGGAAACCCGGGCCGCGCGGGCCGCGGCGCCTCCTCCTCGGGCGGCGGCTCGGCTGCGGGTTGCTGAGGCCCCGGCTCGGCCCGCTCCTCAGCCGCTCCGGGCGCCGCCACGTTCTCCGCGTCCTGCATGGGCCCAGGAGCAGCCTCTTTTCACCTCGGGGCCGCGCTTCCGACTCTCCCAGGCCGCACTGCGCGCTTGCCGGCGCCTACTCTAGAGCCATGTGCGAGCCACCCGGGCCACCCGCACTACCGCTCCCGGAGCGGGGGGCGCAGCTACGCCCTGTGTCCTCCTGACGCGCGGAGACAACCAGACCCAGGAAAGCGTGTTTGTCAACGATGCCAATAAACCATCACACAACGAGTCAATGTCCAATGCAATCGTCTAAGTTGCCATCCTCAACACGTAAACCTCTGGGGAGTTATAAGTACCCCTATTTGGGATAACAGGTTGGTTCCGTCCAAAATGGCAGCCACCTATTTGTTCTCCCATAGGGCGCTTCGGTGAAGGACAGAACTATTTGTGACGCCCAAGGGAGGTGTCAGACATGATTCTAGTGTGCGATATTGTGTTAAAATATAACCTGACTCAAAAATTAACACTAGAAAAAAAGGAAAAGTTCAAGTAATTTTTGGAGTTGTGGCATTCTAGCTTTTAACCGGACACACCATTTTTGGCTTACATTAATAACACCCCCTTCACATATGCTTTTTAGACTCGTCTACTGACTGGGCAAAAGATCCGACGATTCCAAAATGAAATAAAATATTGTATTAGCGAAAGAAGGCAAAACTACCGCAAATAAGACTGCCTGGCTCAATATAAAAATGTACGAGAACTGCGTTCGTCGCTTACGCCTAATTGTACTGTAGGGGCCCTAATCCTGATTTTTCCCCAATTCGTCTTCCACGATGGTTCAGTCCATAGAGGAGCGTCACTACGCGACGCGGGAGCGAACGCGTGTCACGTGGTGGCACAGGGGGCGGGGCAAGAGGCGTCGGGAGCCGCTGGAGGCGCTGGTGAGTCTACGACGGTCTGAGGAACAACCTGGAACCGGAAGGGATACAGTTGTGCTCTACTTTGCTGAGAAGGGTATTTTCCTCGGCTGCCTCAGATACTTTCTTTTTCCGCAGACATGGGGCCAGCCGCGGATTGTAGGATGCTTTCATCATACAAGAGTTTTGCAATTGCATTATACTAGGTTCGAATTCTACTGTCAGCTGTGTAATATTGGGCACGAGGCACTTGCCTTCGTACCAGTTTACTCCCCTGTAAAATGAGGGGTGCGTGGCTCATGAACATTTTTGGACTGACCTCCTACAGAAGGCGAACACATTCCACCAAATACCCAAAGAACCCTCTTCGTTTCTAGTTTTATCCAGTTTTCTTAAGTCATTGCCAACTCTTCTAGAAAATGCTAGAAGTTTATAAATCTGTGAAAAAGCATGAAAATATTGACAGAACTTGGAAATTGCCGACCTTAGCTTGGCTCCCAGGTGTTTCTCAAACAGTACTGACTAATCTTTTTGACGTTATTGCTGAGTTAGAAAAAAAACAACAACCTGTTTTCATTAAGTCCAGTATGACACTTCGTGACCCCACATGTGTCGGTGGTGTTGATGTGGAACTGGGCTCTGTAGGGTTCTCACTGGCTGATTTTTTGGTAGTAGATCGCCAGGCCTTTCTTCCTAGGCACCTTTGGGTATTCTTGAACCAACTTTTTGTTAATACCCAAAACAAAGAACAACAAAATCCCATACCCACTACCATCAAGTCTATTCTGCCTCTTAGTGAACCTATATATGGTTCCAGGACTTCATCTTTCTCCTGAAGTGAATATGAATCTTTGAATTGCCATGAGGTAAACAGGTCAGTACTCAGCTCCCTGCACCACCAGGACTCCATATTGCCGGGTAGCCACAAATGACTTTTCTGATGAACAAACATATATTCTTTCCAAAGGTAAAAGTCTGAAAAGTTAGGATACAGAAAAAGTACACCTGTTCCTCCTAACCCACTATCTTGATAACCAACATTTGTCAAAAATCTATTTGACCATTTTGCACATTAACAGTGTATATCTGGTGAGGTACAAGGTGAAAGTAATGCTGGCTGTGTGTGATAAGGTTAGGGGTCCACACGGCTAGACTGATATCCTCAGTGGTTTGGCAGTTACATGAGGATATCATTTGGCAGTTATGCCATGATGTAGTCATCCTCCATTTGTGATCTGATGTGGTCATCCTCTATTTTCTCGTAACACCAATTTTTGCATAGCAACCTGGTCTTTGGAACCGAACCATAGTAATAAGTGTGGAGTGGTGTATTTACCACCTCTGAGTGTTCCAGAGAGAGCACAAGACCACAACACCTTCCAAAGTGAGAAACTCAGCAGTTGCTTAAGTGCCTCCTATGTGGCAGGTGCTCTGTGTTGGGGATGCGGTGGTGTGCAAATCATGCTGTGTTACAAGTACAGTATAATGGTGGGGGAAACATTGATTAAAAAGTCACAAAGAAGACCGAAGGACGGGTTTGCTGAGGTACACCCTTTGGTTGGTTGATGATGCATGGAGGGGATTGTAACCATGCCAATGAAACGAATATACGATAGGATGAATGTAAAGCTAATGTTCTCCCATGTAAACTATCACATAATTCACAGTAAAACATAAAAAAACAAAACAAAAAAACTCACAAATGTGTAAAAATACATGTGACTAAAAGTAAAAGAGGCTGTGGTTCAGATAATGCTGACTCGTGGTGACCCCAGGTGTGTCAGAGGGTTTTTAATGGCTAGTTTTTCAGAAGTTGATTGCCAGCCTTCTAGTTAGCAGCTGAGAATACTCACCATTGACACCATCCAGGGAAGCCACATCTATGAGAAGTTCATGAAATCCATTTGACACTCCTTTCTTCAAAAACTAATTCTGTTCCCTTTAGAACTGGGTGGACAGAATTCTCCCCTTCTAATGGCTAGAATGAAGTACTGGTGTAGTGCTGTGGGTTAATGCACTGGACTGCACAAACGGTTTTATCTGAAAGGTCAGTGGTTCAAGTTCACCAGCTGCTCCTTGTAAACAATCGCTATGGGTTGGAACCGTCTCAATGACACTTGCAATGGCTAGAATGTGGCAGAAGGGACAGGCAGTGACTTCCAAGCCTGGGTCATAACAATGATAATTTCTACCTGGCTGGCTGAGTCCTAGTGTGGCACTGTGGGTTAATGTGCTGGACAGCAAAGTCGTTTGAACTGCAAGATCAGTGGTTCAAGTTCACCAGCCACTTCTAGGAAACCCCATATGGGGTTGCTATGGGTCGAAACCGACTCGACAACACTTATCAACAACAACCTGACTGGCTCGCTCTCTCAGATCACTGGCTCAGAGAGAAACTACCAGCAGGTTCTGAGGGCACCCAAGTGTCTATAGAGCAGTCTACATGTGGAGGACCTGAGACAGCCAACCAACAGTCAATACCAGATGGCAAGAAATGTGGAAGAGCCACCTTGGAAACAGATCCTCCAGTCCTGGTTGAGCCTATTGCTACTGCTGGGTGTCATCGTGTTGGCAACAGAATGAAACACTGCCCAGTTATGCGCTTTCCTCATTATGTTTGAGCCCATTGTTGTAGACACTGTGTCAATTCATCTTGTTGAGGGTCTTTCTCTATTTCTCTGACCCTCCACTTACCAACTATGATGTCCTTCTCCAAGGACAGGTCCCTCCTGACAATATTTCTAAAGTACATGAGACTTTGGATTAAACCTTCAGAGAATTGTAATTTTATGAAGTGTCCTGGGTCCGAAATACTCACCAATGCCACTCCCAAACATCTCAATCACAAAAACCACAGGATACTAAATGCTTATTATCTTAAACCCTAAAGTTTGGGGTGGTTGTTAAGTGCCATCAAGTCAGGTCCAACTCATAGCGACCCTGTGTAGCGTTTCTGAAGAGCAGCTGGTGTGAACCTCTGACCTGTGGCTAGTATAGTACAATGCTTATGTTGTTGTTTTTGTTAAGTGCCATCAAGTTGGTTCCAGCTCGTAGCAACCCAATATAGGGTTTCCGAGGAGCAACTGGTGAGTTTGAACCACTGACCTTGTGGTTCAAACCAACCTAGCAGTACTGTGCTTATCCTACAGCACCACAACATTGGTTGTGCTTAGAACAGCCAATTACTAATATAGTGGATTTATAGGAATAGCATAACATGATTAGCTCCCAGTGGTGGTGGTTGTGTGCCATGAAGCCAGTTCTGACTCATAGTGACCCTGTACAGGGTTTCCGAGGCTGTAAATCTTTGCGGGAGCAGAAAGCCTCATCTTTCTCCTGCTGGTAGTTTCAAACTGCTGACCTTGAGGTTAGCAGCCCGACTTGTAACCACTATGCTACCAGAGCTCCTTGATTAGCTCCTAAGACGTGTTAAAAAACAAAGCAACAACAACAATAACTGCCATCAATTCGATTTCGGACTCATAGTGACCCTGTATAGGGTTTCTACAACTGTAAATCTTTATAACAGTAGACAGCCTCATTGTTCTCCAGCAGAGTGACTTACCGCTAATCTTGTGGTAAGCAATCCAAAACACAACCTACTATGCCACCAGGGCACTTAAGACATGTTGTTATGTTTCTTAAAGCTCAAATTGTATATTGATATTACCACAAAATCCCAGTTATGGGAAATGCACAAAGTTACATAATGATGTTATGAGGCTAATAGAGATAAAGATGTAAAATATACAGAAAAAGACCTTGAAGCATGCACACAATACTGGAAGTAGTGACTGTTGAAAATGAGCAGGATTGGTGTTAACTGTACAATGAAACTTTTCTATATGGTTGAAAATGTTTATCATGACAGCTTCTGGTATGACTGCTAACTGCATGGTTGGCAGTTCAAACCCACCAGTCTCCTTGGAAACCTATATGGAGTAACTATGATGGATCAGCCAGGTGGCATCATTGATGGACTCAAGTGTGGCGGCGGTAGTAAGGTTGGCCCAGGATTGGACATTGTTTCGTTCTGCTGTGCATGGGGTCGCTATGAGTCGGTTCCGACTCGATGGCACCTGACAACAACAACAACATGAGTCAGAACCAACTTGACAACACTGAACAACAACAAC